CTCCACCTGTCAAGGAATCAGCGCAGGACGCGCATGAGTTTGCAGAAAGCCAAAACGTCATCAAGAACGGTCGAAAGAGTCGGCGATCTTTTAAAGAAAACAAGAAAAACAAAGGGAATCGTCAATGCGAAATACACGACGAGGCGTTTTTGAGTGCACTGCCACCCTTAAGACGGTCAGTGTGTTGGCGTGTAAGACGAGCAGAGTTGCAGCTTCACACAAACGAGTGGTTGAAAACAACGCATCAGAAAGTATGGTTTACAAGCGGAAAAATAGAGAAAAAGCGTTCGCCTCACAAATTTGGACACGACGGCATTGGAGTTCGTTAGCAACAGAGCTGTTTCATGTTTCGCTTGTGCCCCCTCCCCATGCAATGTGCAAGGAAAGAAGATGCACGTCAGAGGAACAAGCATGCTGCAGGCCCAAGCATCTGCACGTTTGAATGAAGATAGGAGCGTGTCGCTCATCACACAGGAGACTTACCCGTTAGTCCACATGTAATTGCGCCATCCACAAGTAACTCAGCACCCACCATGTACGAGGCGCGGTCCGACGCGAGAAACACGACGGCCTCGGCAACTTCACGCGGCTGGGCGAGGCGTCCAATGGGAGAGGCTTCACCGACTTCCTCTGGTCGATGGTGCGTTACAGCAGCCAAGCGTTCGTTCATGGAGGTGTCACATGTACCGGGGCTCACCATGTTGACGCGAATGTGGAAGGGGATCAGCTCCAGCGCGAGCGACTTGCACAGCATCCGCACCGCACCCTTGCTGGCGCAGTAGGCGGCCAGGAGAGCACCGCCGCGCACGGCGCCTGTTGAAGCGGTGCACACGATGCTGCCACCGCCCTGCGCCTTCATCAGCGGGGCCACAGTGCGGATGCCGAGGAAGGTGCCGAGGGCGTTGATGTTCATCGTCTTGTTCCAGATGTCCAGCGTCGTGCTCTCCAAGTCGGACATGATCATGATGCCGGCGTTGCATACCAGCACATCAATGCGGCCAAAGGCACTCTTGCACGCGTCCACCACAGTCGGCCACTGCTGTTCGTTCGACACATCCAGCGCTGCCGCCACCGCGCGCTGACCCTCCACGGCGTGTTTGCCGGCGTTCAGCGTGGCGGCCAGCTCCTCCACCGAGGCGCCATTCACGTCCGTCAGAAACACGCTGCAGCCCCGCTCAAAGCACAGCTCGGAGATGCCGTGGCCGAGACCGGCACCGGCGCCCGTGATGAAGGCAACCTTGTTGGCGAGCTCGAGGGACATCGTGTTGAATGAAGAAAGGTCTGTTAGGAGATGTAGAAGTGAGTCTTACGTTTTTGCCTTAGAAAATAATTGTTTTGTTTTTGTTAGTGTTGTGTTCTGTTTTCATGGATGCGAGATACAGAAGTGTGTTGAGACGGAGGTGTAAGTGCGAGGGAGAGTTGATAAATGAGATAGGAACCTAAAACGGCAGTGGAGTCGAACGTGCGTGATGAAGACGCGCTGCTTTATCATTGAAAACGAACGCTTACTTTGCTTGTTTGCCGACGCTTACCGGAAATGTTCAGATGCAGCAGAAAGAAAAGCAACTCACTGAAAACAAAAGGATACACTGGGAAAGAGAAACTAAGAAAGCCCTACCTCAAAATACGGTGCACCGAAGCACATAGGCCTGAGCTGCAAACCGTGACAGCAGACAAATTAACTTCCACGTTGGTGACGTTTGAATTCGAAAGATCATAAGAAAGAGGGCGGAAAGGAGAGGAAAATGTGTGTTGTTGCCGCACCATTGACGCGAGCTTCAAAGCTTGCTCGACGTATGGGGAACAACGCGGGGTCGTTTACAAAGCCAAGGGATGACCACTGCGCTGGTTACGTGTGGCGTGTTTCACTTTCTTCTGTGACGATCCACGAAGAGACCGCGGCGCTAGCGTGATGAACGCATGAATGTCAGTAATTTTTTTTAGTGTTTGACGCTTTCATTCACTTGTAGTTTTGATGTGTTTTCCATCATACACACCAAACTCGCGTTGGCGTGATGAACACAGGTACATTTTCGGTGGAGGAAGGGGGGAGGGAAGACCGAGCCAAGCACACGCAAAAGCAAGCGCTCAACAGGACACATTTTCAACCGTGCTCACAACTCACAGGATTACCCTGACGAGGTGTAAACACCAGATCTGAAACAGCTCCCTTAAAATGATACTATTAACAGAAGCATATATATAGAGGTAAAACATAAAGAGAAAGCGCTGATAGGATAAACAATAAACAAAAAAGGGCTTTATGACCGCCTACTAATAGATGCAAGAAGCCTATTGGAGGTCCTGGTTTTACGGATTTCAACAAGAAAAATGTACGCGCTCAGCCTTCAAAGATACATGTGCATAGCATTGATTGTGCTCTCAATCATGCAAAGAGAAGTCTAGTTGTCGTGGCACATTGAAAACGAAGAGGTTCGGCTTCACCGCTTCCTGTGCTCTGCGATGCGCAGGACACATATTTGCACGAGATTACCGCGACGCAAATGTGTCTTGAACACAAATACCGACAGCTGCAACAGCAACAACGAAACCGCAAGAAAGGACGTTAAAACGGTAGAGAGCAGGAGTATAAACGCGAAGCTGCCGTATTTGCCTTTCGCTTTCTCCTTCGTGTTCAACGCGCCCATTCGTGAAGCATTACTTGTTGGCGCGCAGCTCCTTGGCCGCGGCGACCATGTTCGTCAGCGCCTCGCTCACCTCCTTCCACGTGCGCGTCTTGAGCCCGCAGTCCGGGTTCACCCAGAGCTGATCCACCGGAACACGGGTCGCCGCGCTGCGCAGCAGTGCCACAATGGACTCCACGGAAGGAATGTTTGGGGAGTGGATGTCGTACACACCCGGGCCGATCTCGTTCGGGTAGGTGAAGTGCTCGAAGGCGTCCAGCAGCTCCATGCCGGAGCGCGAGGCCTCGAGCGAGATCACGTCGGCGTCCATCGCGACAATGGTGGACATGATGTCGTTCACCTCGGCGTAGCACATGTGCGTGTGCACCTGCGTCGCCGGTTTGGCGACGGAGACTGCAATGCGGAACACACGAGCAGCCCAGTCCAGGTACTCGGCCCACTTGTGCTTCTGCAGCGGCATGCCCTCTCGCAGGGCGGGCTCGTCGACTTGGATCATGGGGATGCCCGCCGCCTCGAGATCCGCCACCTCATCACGCAAGGCAAGCGCCAGCTGCTGCGAGATGTGCTCGCGTGTCACGTCCTCGCGGGGGAACGACCAGCACAGGATGGTGACGGGGCCTGTGAGCATGCCCTTCATGGGGCGCTTCGTCAGACTCTGCGCGTACGCGCTCCACGACACGGTCATCGCACGCGGTCGGCTGACGTCGCCATAGATGATCGGCGGCTTCACGCAGCGGGAGCCGTAGCTCTGCACCCACCCGTTCTGCGTGAAGGCGAAGCCGTCCAGCAGCTCGCCGAAGTATTCCACCATGTCCGACCGCTCCGCCTCACCGTGCACGAGGACGTCCAGATCAAGGCGCTCCTGCTCCCGCACCGCAAACGCGATGTGCTCGCGGAGCTGCTCGTTGTACGTTGCCTCGTCCGTCAGCCCTTTGCGGAAGCTCTGGCGCTGCGTGCGGATCGACGGCGTCTGCGGGAAGGAGCCGATGGTGGTGGTGGGCCACAGCGGCAGGTTGAAGCGCTCCCGCTGCTTCTCCCGACGTGCGGGAAAAGGCTCGGAGCGGGCGCTGTCGGCCGCCGTCAGCCGCTGCACACGCGCGCGGACATCGGCGCGCACGACGCGGTCCGACTTCTGCCGCGCCAACACGGGCTCGCTGTACGCCGCCACGGCCTGCTGCGTCGCCTCGCCGTCGTCGTTCAGCGCGCGCGCCAGCAAGTGGAGCTCGTCGCACTTCTGCAGCGCAAACGCCAACCAGCTCTTCAGCTCTGCGTCGAGAAGCGTTTCGTGCTCGAGGTCAACGGGGCAGTGCAGCAGCGAGCAGGAGGTAGCAACCCACAGCTGGCGGTGCTTGCCTACGACCTCCCGCAGCGGGGGGTACCACGCGGACAGGTCGGTCCTCCACACGTTGCGGCCACTAATCACGCCGGCGGACAGCACCCAGCTCTTCGGCAGAGCCTGCTCGACGGTGGCCACGCTGTCGTCGCCGTTGACCAGGTCGACGTGGAGGCCGTCCACCGGGAGTTGCGCGATCACGTCGAGGTGATGACGCACGCTGTCGAAGTAAGTGGTGAGCAGCAGCTTCGGCGACGCAGCGGCGGCGGCGCGCAGTTGCGTGTAGGCGGCGCTGTACGCACGCTGCCACGGCTCCTCCAGGTCGAGCACCAGCGCGGGCTCGTCGATCTGGACCCACTCCACTCCAATGCTCGCCAGCTCCTCCAGGATGGACGCATACGCCTTCACGAGGTTCGGCAGGAGCGCGATGCGGTCGAACTTCTCGTCGCCCTTCACCTTTCCCAGATGAAGGTAGGAGACGGGGCCAAGCAGCACCGGCTTCACACGCTGTGCCCCATACACGGCAGCGGCCTCGCGCACCTCGTCAAAAAGCTGCCGCCACGTCACGGAGAACGTCTGCGATGCCGAGGTGAACTCGGGCACCATGTAGTGATAGTTCGTGTTGAACCACTTGGTCATCTCTACCGCGGACGCGGGCTGACCCGTGGGGGCCCGCCCGCGACCGGCGCGGAAAAGCGTGTCGAGGTTGATGTCGCCGTCACGGTGGCGCGGGGCGATGTTGCCGAGGAGAAAGCTCGTGGCGAGCGTGTTATCGTACCACGCGAAGTCACCCGCCGTGATGAAGCGCATGCCGCGTTTGTCCTGTTCCGCCCAGTGGCGGTGGCGCAGCTCGCTGCCTACGGCGCGCAGCTCCTCCTCGGAGGCTTTGCCGGCCCAGTAGGACTCCAGCACCTTCTTCAACTCGCGCTGAGCTCCCATGCGGGGGAAACCCAAGGTGTGACTGATGACCTCCGGCATGACGATAGGAAGCAAGAATAATAATCAATACGAGTGAACCTAGCGGAGAAACACGTAGAAATTGGCAATGGAGGCAAAAGAGTGCGCATCACGGGAGAGCAAAGGAAAAGAGAACACAAGAGAGAACAGCACAGGTAAACATTTCACACCAAAGTGAACACAACTAGGAGAGAGAGAAAGCAGAGTGTCCTGCCTCAAGAAAAAGCGGAGCACATAAGTCAAGTGGATGCGGAAGGATAATATCGCAGACACTGGAGTGTTAATGTGAGTGTGTAATATCGCCGTTTTCTTCGTTTTTGTGGATCTGCCTTGTTTTGTGTACTATCGTAACTTTAGCGTCCACCCAACGCGTTACAGTTACTCCCGCACCATAGTTTATGAATCTTCTCAGAAACGGATTTTTGCCTTGTATTCACAGTACTGTTGAAAAAAAGAGCGAGAAAAAAAAAGAGTTTCTTTCTTTTGTTAGTCAACGTTGACCTCAACCTGCTTAGCGTCTGATCGCAGTTTAAGGCCTCATGAAAAGCAGTTTGCCGACCACTTGAGTCCTTATTAGCAATCAATAAACAACAAACATATATGGTGAGAAACTCAAGTGGCACCTGATACCAGGATGAGGAGAACGTGGTTGGAAGCCAGTGCAATCCTCTGACACAACGCTTTTCACGGCTATACTACAACGTTCACGCTCTTCTTGAGCAACGCAAAAAAGAAACTCTCAACAACAATAATAATGATATGAAGTTTCGTTCATCGTTTTGATTCCTCGTCCGCAACAGGAATGAAGTGGCTTCATACGCAGAAGAAAAAAGGGGGTAGATGATGAAAAAAGAAAAATATGATGCGGGATTAAATAGAAGGTGGTAATAAAAGTCGAAAAAGAAAATAGAAATAAAACACTCGCTTCGGCACACCCAGAAGAGAATCCATTAACGACAAAAACAATAATATTAATAAAAACAAAAATACGTGTTGTCGCACATATATTCGTTCAAAAGAAAAAACAAGTTGGTCGCCCTGCAATGATCTGAGCCTTCTAAGGAAGACGAATGCAGTGCTTAAACGAGGTTGTCAACGACAAAGCGAGAGAAGACACGTACAAAAAAGTATCTACAACATAGCGTAAAGCAAATGTGACGAATGACAACTCTGCGCTCACAGTCCCACTCAAAACAACCCTTCGTTATCGTGTACGGCGTCGCACCGAGAAAGCGCATTGCATCCTCTTCTTCACCCCCACAAAAAAAATTGGAAGAGAAGAAAAGCGGACAACTTGTTCTTTTGAATGAAATGATTTGCAGGAAAAGAAGTGGACTTACGCCACAAGTCTTTCCTGCCACTTGTATGTGGGAGTGATAGTAGATTAATTTACAGCGGATTCCGCTTCTACGAAGACTCGAGCCACAGGAAATGAGAAAGTATCAGCATCGGATTACCTGAACTGAGAAAAAAAGAGAAATAGGAAAACAAAATCGCCCTAAAGATACAAAAAACACAGTAATATGAGAACTAGTACTTTATGCAAGAAATCCGTTGCTATCTAAAAAAGATTCGCAAGGTTTTCTTGTTTACTACTTCTGCTCCAATTGTACCATTTTCGTTTACTCAGCTTAGGAGAAGAAAAAGAAAGAAAATTGTGATTTTGGAGGCTTCTGTAGCTGGAAGCAACAGTAAATTCAGGTTACTTCGCCTCAGGCACTTGCTGCGGTCGTAGTTCTTTTGGACTGAAGCACGATGGCGACTGTAAAGAGGAAGCATTTACATGTGTCCGCAATTTTGTCCGCTTGCTTTCCCGCTTTAAACAGTCGGCTCTTGCAAGCCATCGGAGAGAGGATCGGAGCGGTCGGTATTCTCACCGCGGACGCGACGACGCTCCGCCAGGACGCGCAAGCAATAACGGCGGTAGGTGAAGTGAACCACCACGTTCGAGATGAAAGCGCTGCAGGCGAGGCCGAGCATCACCAAGAGCGGCATCTGTACGCACTTGCGGTGCGTGCAGAGCAGAGACTTGCCAAACTTCTCTGCCTGCACCGTGTACCACTCGCCGTACAGAAAGCGGTTCAACGCAATAGACGACACTGCTGTGGCGAGGAAGCAGAAGTGATAGTGCTTCGCGGGGTCTCTTGCGTAGATGGTACGCGTGACGAGAATCGTCGACGCTGCCAAGAAACCGTTACCGAGTGCTGCAATGACGTACGGGAGTGGGAGCACGCGCTGCGGCAGGGTGAGGAGCAAGATGATCGTAATGATGATGGAAGTGGTAGGAAAGAACAACGCAACCGTAATAGGGATGCGCTTCTCGGCAGGGCGTTTCTGTGACCAGGCCTCGAAGTACGACATCAGCAGACGACCTGCGGCGCTGCCCACGCCGTTGAGCACGGTCAAAAGGGTACGGGTCTCGTCGGACACCTTTTCGCCCGCCAATGCGCCGAAGAGAAAGCTCGCGTTATTCATAATCACGCCTTCCGTTCCGACAATGCAAAACGTGGTCCACCACAGCGCCCAGAGGTTCACGGAGAGGAGGTTGCGGAGAAACGACGTCTGATACTGTGGCGCGATGTAGTCCACTTCGGTGTCCCTCTCCTCTTCCTCCATTGCCACAGTAGCCACCGGAAGCGGCTTTTCGACTTCATTGTTGGAGCTGGTCTGCGAAGCAGCCGGGACTCCGTCGATTGCGTCGAACTGATCCGCGTTCGATGTGGCGGGGCGCCGGCGATAGATCACTTCCACTGGAAAAGCGATCACAAAGAAGCCCGCTGTCAGAATAGTGACGACAATGGCAAAGGCACGCTTCTTCTCAATACCCAGTTTCAGATAATCGGCGAGAGCCGACGTGACTGGTAAGAAGATGATGAGAACAATCATGAGGGCGAATCCGTAGTAGAAGCGCCACATGGGCGGCTTTTGCTTCAGGTACTGCGCCTTGGTGGCCAGCCGGCGTGCCTTCTCCTCCTCCGAAAGATGCGACTCCTGGTAGCCGGTCATGTGGTAGGCTGGCAGACGGAGAAAGATGGCTCCGAAAACGCCGACAACGACGGCCAAGATCATGAGGAAGTAGAAAAAGTGCTCGACTGCGCCGCCAAAGTAGCCCTGGTACATGCACCCCACGATTGCCGCGCCGAGTCCAATAAAAGTCTTCAAAAGCGCAACCACAGCGCCGCGATTCACCGGAAAGTGGCTCAAAATCGTCATGCAGCTGGAAAGATCAAAGAACGACGTACCGAGACACATGAATGAGTAAAACACGCACAGTCTCACCACAGTCCCAACAATCACGCCTTGGAAGCACAACGCCACCAGCAGCGCACCAAGTGGGAAAATGAAGATGGACAGAATGGCGATGGGAAGCGGTCCGAGGTAGTCATAAACGAATGAGTACGGAAGCATGACGTAGCCGACCACGCTGCCGCAGGTTGTGATGGCGCTCAAATCACGCTGCGAGAGCGAGTACCTTTCTTGAAATGACCCCGACACAAGGTTGAATGTGTAGCCGCCGAAAGACCCGCATATCATGCCGAAAACACCGATCAGCAGGAGCGCGAAGCGGTGCGCCTCGCTGATCGGCGTAAAGGCAGCTTTCGACAGCCGCTCGAGATGCACCTCCTTATCAGTCCCGCCGAACATTCTCGGAGCAATTAATCGAATGTACGTAATAATTGCTGATGTGAAGTAATTGAGAAAGCAGCCAGCGACGAAAAACGGAGAAGTTCAAAAATTGAACAAATCCTTCTTTGTTGTTGCAGTTCTTAGATGTAGGAGAAATAAGCGAGACAATAATTTAGACTTTTTTTTACTACGCGTAGCGAAATTGTGGAGATCCAAAAATATGTTCATTCGCGAGAAGAGAAATGAGAGAGAAGCAGTACAATGGGACACAAATATAAGTTCGTTGCTATAAGGTTCAACCTTGATGCACGCAGCATTGGGTGACTATCAAACAAGCTATATTCACACCTTTCTGTAACCAGTTTTACTGCCATTATTGCAATCATCAAAAAACTAATAGACCCCATCACCGTCAGTTGCGGGTGTTCTCTTTGGTACAGATGGAAGATCGGATGTTGTTCGTCTGTTCGTTTTGTTTGTTTGCTTATTCCTTGTTTGCTTTCTAGAGAGAAAGATTAACGCGCAAAGCTATTAATGATGCGAATACAAACAAATTCAAACGTATTTTCTCCGACAAGTTTTTTGTTGGTTATCATCGGTTGTGCGTAGTAATAAAATCATTCCATCATTATTGCCATTGTAATATATTGTTGCTAGCAAGCGCTACGCTTCTCTTTTGAATGCGCTCCGGATTATGTCAAGCTGTTTATCAAAACAGAATAACCTACACCCTACAAATCATCGTCTACCAGAAAACGCAAACCTTTACGTCAGAACTACATTAATTTATCTTTCTCAGTTACAACACACTGTAAATATCAATAGTTAAATACATGCAACGAAAACAAATATTCAACAGACTCTACGAAGTGGGTAGCCCGCCTTACGCTTCCCCGCTGGGTGGGCGGGGAGTTCAGGGTTGGGCGAGTGGGAAAAACGAGAAAACGGAAGAACGGCTGAATTCTGGCAGTTGAAAAGGAGAATAAAAGAAAAAGGGGAAAAGAGAGGTATGAGGAATAATTTGCAGGCTAGGTCATTCCATTCGTAATCTCCAAAAAAAAAGTAATTAACATGTTTATCGTAGTGATAAAATTGAAATAGTTTCAAGTGAACGAAGAGTAAATGGGAAAAACAGCGAAGAAACAGTCACGCAACAGAAGAACATCAAAAGAGAAAAGACGCTGAAAGCAGCATTGAGCGGAAGCAAACAAGATCAAGGATGTGTTGTACTTTTTGCTTTTGCATCGGTGCGATTTTGAAAAAAAAAACACGCGGTCTCAGCACAACCAAAAGCGAAAAAGAATCTACGTTCAGTTTTGTTATCGTTTTAAGCCATTTGTTTCAAATACTACGATTATTATGACAAAAGTCAACTTTTTGTGTGTGTTCAAGTATGTTTAACCTAATGCGCGTTTTAATGAGCATTCTAAACCAGGAGAAAATCTGCACCTCTTAAAGGCAAGAAAAAACTATTGCCTGCATCGCCCCGAGCAGCTGAGAAAAAAGAGCTTGCCACAGCGTGATACAATTAAGAACGAATAACATGTGTATGTTTGCAAACGCAATTCAGTGTTTTATATATGCAAGACAAGTTTTTTGGGTTGTTTGGTTTATGCGCTTACTGGGAAGCAGATACCTAGCCAACAACGTTTTAAAACCCTTCAAACAATGCTGACTACAAAAAAAGAGGCTCTACAATAGGAGCAGAAAAACAAAAACACAAGTTCATGCGGTGTCTGAATTAAGACGAAAGAGAACAATGAAAGTTGTACTAGTTATCTGGCGCGAAAAAGAAAACGAACGGAGTACAAAACTGGAACGGCGCACCATTCTTTTTTGGGGAAACGAACTTCGTGAAGAAACCACCAGTCACACGACCACCACCTCCTGTGCTCACGGAACTGAAGAGACCGAAAACTAAGAGGAGAGGGGGCGGGGAGAAAAGAGAGAGGGGGGTTCCTCGACAGGTAGGAAGAGGCCGGGAAGGCCAAGGCGAAACGTTGGAGAAGTGCAAAATGCGGAGGAAAAAAGATTCGTGCACGAATTTGAAACTGGATGGCATACAAAATGCGAATGGAAATGAGAGCGTGCCCGCCACCGAGGTTTCTACTTCACTTTTAAGCGCCAGTGTCGCAGCAGACGCTCTAAAATTTTCCGGTTTCTTTCGTGTGCGAAGCCGAAGCGGGAGCAACTGGAAAGAGGATGTGAGTGCTTTCAAAGGCTGCTCAAAACTGTGGGTGATATATTCCGCCGAAGAAAACCGTTGCTTTTCGACAGATCTCCGTAAATACACAGTTGAGTTACCGGGTTTCTTTTCCCACATCACTCGCAAGGGTAGAAGATTGTTTCCTGACATTTAGCATCGCGTCCGAACCGTACTTAACGCAAAAATTGACATTAAATGCTTTGAGACTGTTGCTGCAGATGCTCTCGAGCTCAGTCGCGAAACAAGCCGCTTAGTTTGACTCCTCAAAGAATTAATGGAAGGATTTCGGTTTCTGTGTGAGAAACGCACGCGGATCTCAGCTGATTTGATCACGAGCGCCTGGTTCCTAATCTGTAGAATGAAGGACAAGAAACTTCTCATTTTTTTGTCATAGTTCGTCTGATGACCACTTTGCTTCTATTCGCGTGAAACCCAAAATGAAAGCGTTATGTTCTCTATACTTTTTCGTTTCTTGATATTTTAAACCCTTTTTGTGTTCTCCATGTACTAGTAGCTTCAAAGTTCTTTTTCTGTTTCGCAACGGTTATTGATTTCTGAGACACTGATCCTGTTTTGCTGCTTATATCAAAGTTGAGATTGTCTTTTCTGTGTTCAAATTCGTGTTAGTGTTTGTGGGATAAGCTATTCATAGAAAGCAAAAAAAAAAAATGACGGAACGCAAACTTGGTTTTTTGGGATGCGGGAGCATGGCGGAATGCATTATGGCTGGACTTCTGAAATCGTCCGCTGTGAAGCCAGAGAACGTTTTCGTGTGCAATCGCACAGCTTCAAAAAATGACCACCTCGTTGCCACGTACAACGTAACGAGCGTGTCACCCGAAGAACTTGCCTCTAAAGCCGATATTGTCCTTCTTGGCACCAAGCCCTACGGAGTGGTTCCGATGCTGGAGGTGATTAAAGGAAAGCTGAACCCGCAAACAATTGTTATCTCGATGGCTGCCGGGGTGCCAATTGCCACAATTGAGAACCACTGCCCGCCATCAACGAAAGTGATTCGCGTCATGCCGAATGTGCCTTCGTTTGTTGGAGAAGGTGTAACGTCGGTCAGCTGCAACTCTAGCATTTCTCAGGATGAAGAGACAGAAGTATTGAAGCTCTTCGGTTCCATTGGAAAAGCGTATGTAGTTGCGGAGTCTGCGATTCATGGCGTCGTTGGCGTTGCCGGCTCATCACCAGCCTACGTGTTCATGTTTCTCGAAGCGCTCAGCGACGGTGCGGTTCGTGGCGGTGTCCCGCGCGCGCTTTCGTACGAAATGGCTGCCCAAGCCGTCCTCGGTGCGGCAAAAATGCTGCAGGAAAGCGACAAAACTCCCGCTGCCCTGAAGGACATGGTTTGCTCGCCTGGTGGCACAACGATTGAAGCTGTGCGCTACCTCGAAAAAGGAGGTTTTCGCTCTGCGGTGATTGAAGGCATGATCCAGTGCATGGAAAAGTCAAAGGAATTTGAAAAAGTGTACTCTGAATAACGTTCAACTACAGTACGTTTTTTTTTTCGTTGTTCCGAAGTATTTCTAACTACAGATGATACTGCTCACTTTTTTTTTTTTGCAAGAATCGAGGTTAGTATCTTTGTTTTTATAAGCTTTTCGTTTTGTTTTCACTTCGCTCCAGCTAAAACGGTGTTTTGGCTCATTTTTCTTCGCTAGGATGCTAGCGTGATTTGAACAATGTTACCGATGAGCACAATTATTCGAAGGTGGAGCTCTTGCTCTATCTTCTGCTTTTCTCTACTGGAGTGTATCGTACTGTTATTATGGTTTTTATTTGTGTTTTCGATATAGCTGTTTTTTCTTTCTTGATTGAAGTTCGCGACTAAGTAAATCATTTAGTTACACTCCCGAGAAAGGGAAAGAAACAAACCAAAAGAAGAGGATAGAAACTTTTTTGTTGTTGTTGTAATGGGAATTGAACGGGGCTCAAGTTTAGTTTCCAGATAACGCATTTGCGATGTGATGCCCATTGAACGTGTGTTTTACATAGTACCTGAGCATTTTATTGTTGCTTTAACTATTATTATTATCACCAGATACCCTTTTTTCTGCTCGTTAAACACTAAAGACGATACTGTTTTTAATTCATGCAGCGATCCTTTTAGCTTCTTCTCTATCCCATATTGTTCATTACGAAAGCACTGTTGATTTGCCATGCAGTACCATGCTGTTATCTACTCTTGATTTCTATTTAGCTTAAAAGTTAAAAAAAAAAATAGCAATCACTGTCTTCTCACGCTTTCCTCCATCTTCTTCGATTTTAAAACTAATAATAAAAAAAAACATAACTTCGCCATATTAACATCTGCTGCTGCTATCGATTATCATGAATTACGACTAATACTTATAGCCGTTCCAAAATGGTGAACTACCCAAAGAAGAAGGTGATGCACTGCGGCGACGCGCGCTGCAATGCGCACAAGTCGTTCAAAGTGGTGCAGTACAAGGCCGGTAAGGCCCGCCTGTACGCTCGCGGTAAGCGACGTTACGACCGCAAGCAGTCGGGTTACGGTGGTCAGTCCAAGCCTATCTTCCACAAGAAGGCCAAGACGACCAAGAAGATCGTGCTGAAGCTGCAGTGCTCTGGCTGCAAGACGATCCGTCAGATCGTCCTCAAGCGCACCAAGCACTTCGAGCTGAACGATAAGAAGAAGACCGGCAACAAGGACCCCACCTGGTAATTAGAGCGGAATCAACTTTTCTTTTTGTCTTATTTTTTTTCTTAGTTAACCAAAAAAAGAAAAATACATATACGTAAAAGCAGAACTTTACTGGTACGTGAGAAAACGGGAGAGAAAAACTGACGTTTTTCTCCTCTCTTTGGGGCTTACTTCTCAAATCAAAGCAGTAGCAGCATCAATTTGGTGTGACTTATGAGCATTACCCTTGTGTGTTGCTGATTTGCTAGATGACACGGTTGTCACTCTCTTTTGGGGGAGGGGACACCGTTTGAGAGTAAAACGTGCAGCCGTGTTGCCACGTTAGCAAAGAGAAAATAATGACTGTGACAAATGCAACATCCTATCTGATCTCAGTATTGTTTACATCTTCATTTCCCCACTAAAAGAGAAAGGAACGGCTTTGCTTTTATTTCCTTCTTTTGACTCTCATTACTTCAATTTTACCTTTCTCTTCCTCTTCTTCACACCTCATTCTTCCATCTGGATTTGCGACTTCCGAAAAACTATGAGAAGAAAACAAACTGCTACGTATACAAAGTAGGGCTTTGGGTCACAGTATCTTTTTTTTCTTTTTACTTCTCCCTCTGTTTGCCGATTTTAGTCTTCACTTTTCTCTGTTCCAGATCGTCATCAGAACTCTTTTTTGTTTGTTACCAAACTCCAATTCATCCTCCTTGAAGGTTTTTTTTTTCCGAAGGGAAGAAAGAGACGACCTGCGCAGCGCGTTGGAAACAGAGGCACTGCATTAAACATGTCCAATTTGGCCTACATCAACCCCGGCGGCAAGCAGGTGCGCAAGGCGGGTGCGTTGGACATCAATATGATTGCCGCCCGCGGTCTGCAGGAGGTGTTGAAGACGAATCTAGGACCTCGCGGCACGATGAAAATGTTGGTCTCAGGCGCCGGCGCCATAAAGATCACAAAGGATGGAAACACCCTTCTCGGCGAGATGCAAATCCAGCACCCTACCGCTGCCCTCATCGCGCGAGCAGCCACAGCAATTGATGACATTACCGGTGATGGAAGCACCAGTGTTGTACTGGTGATTGGTGAGATGATGCGCCAATCCGAGCGTTACATTCAGGAAGGAATGCACCCTCGCACGGTTACGGAAGGCTTCCACATAGCCCGCGAAGAGGCGCTGAAGTTCTTGATGAACAACACAATTAGCATTCCGAGCGAGGAGCGCCGTGAGTACCTCACGAACGTTGCGCGCACGGCGTTGACCACGAAGGTGAACGCCGGCCTTTCCGAGCAGCTTGCAGATGCAGTCGTGGACGCCGTCTACGCCGTTGCGGAGGAAGGCAAGGAGGTGGATCTACATATGGTAGAGGTCATGCACATGCGCCACCGTTTGAGCTCCGACACCCGATTCGTGAACGGCATCGTCCTTGATCACGGCGGCCGCAACAGCGACATGCCAAAGAGTCTCGAGAATGCGTACATTCTCACCTGCAACGTCTCACTCGAGTACGAGCGAAGCGAGCTCACGACCGGCTTTTACTACAAGGACCCCGCGGAGAAGGTGCGCATGGTTGAGGCGGAGCGTAAAATGACGGATGACCGTGTGCGCCAAATCATCGAGCTGAAGAGGAAGGTGTGCACCAAGGAAAACGGACGCACGTTTGTCGTGATTAACCAGAAGGGCATTGACCCCATCGCGCTCGAGATGCTGGCGAAGGAAAACATTCTTGCTCTGCGCCGCGCGAAACGGCGCAACATGGAGCGTCTCGTGCTGGCGTGCGGCGGCGAGGCGGTGAACGCGACCGACAACCTCACCCCTGAGATCCTCGGCGAGGCCGGGCTCATTCAGGAGTACACGTTGGGCGACGACAAGTACACCTTCGTGGAGAATGCCAAGAAGGGGAAGAGTTGCACGCTGTTGGTGAAGGGTCCGAACGACCATACTATCGCCCAAATCAAGGATGCGGTTCGCGACGGACTGCGGGCAGTCAAGAACGCGTACGAGGCGTCCGCAGTTGTTGCAGGCGCCGGCGCGTTCGAGGTCGCTCTTCACGACCACCTAATGAAGTTCGCAGACAACATGAGCGGCAAACAGAAGATCGGCGTTCGCGCGTACGCGGATGCCATGCTTGTCATTCCGAAGACGCTTGCAGAGAACTCCGGCCTCGATGTCCAGCAGTGCCTCATCACGCTTCAAGAGGCCAGCAGGGCGGCCCGCGCGAATGGAAAATGGGCCGGCCTTCGCATTGAGAATGGCGACGTCCTCGACCCCGTTGCGGCTGGTATGCTCGACAACGTCATCGTCAAGAAGAGCCTTTTGGAGTCCACTGGTGACATTGTTGCCCAGCTTCTTCTTGTGGATGAGATCATGAAGGCTGGCCGTCGTGGCGCTGGCGGGCAGTAACGTTGGATGAGAAGCCTCTGTTTGTTTGTTTGACATGGCCGTTGGTGCGTCGCAGCACTCCTGCTTGTTAGGTGCGTCGGAGAACGTGGCTTGTGGGCTCTTCAACGGAAGCGTAATTGTTTTTTCTTCGATGTTGGTTTCATTATTATTATTATTATTATTTTTTTTTAAATGTTGGTACGTATGGGTGTGTCGGTCGGCAGGCACAGCAACAGAGTTTACACCTATTTGCTGCGTGATAGTGAACCGAAGGTGTTTTTGTTGTTGTTGATGCTAATTTTTGTACAGTGAATCGACAGGGTTGTGCGCTTCCCCTTGGGCTTCTGTCTAGCGTTTCAACAAAGACAGTTTGCAAACGTTGTTAGTTGTCACCTGTATCGCAAGGGACGAAGTGATGGGCAGTTAATCTGTAAATATTACTCTTAACCAATTTTTGTTTTTACTAGTAACCACATGGAAAGACGGACGAAACCGTCCAAAAAAGAAAAATGACAGTACCGTTGTCGATTGCCAAAGCAATGCTGGACGAAGGGGCACGCTACATGAAAGGTGGCACGAAGGGGGCAAATTAAAAAAGAAAAAGCAGTGATACGCTTTTCTTTTCTCGTGTGCTTCAGTATTTCTTGACGCGAGTAAAAGGAAAGGTTTTCTTTTACGTCAATGCGACAAAAGCAGTGACCGTTCGTCAAGCAAAGCACACGAGTGAAGGCTTTGCGCGGTACTGGCGTCGTAAAGGATTGTGGTACGGCCAAGCCAGCTTATGCATGCGTGCTTAAGGATCGACAAAAGAAGCGGTATCTGTGAATATTTTTTTTTTTAAATTACTATAATATGTTGCTTGTACTTTGTCCCATTTTACTCTTCTTTCTTATGGCTCTCTTTCTATTACCTTTTTTTTCCTCTTCGCCTTCCCGTACTCCCATATAATAACGCGGTCCGTGTGGGTAACATAAATTTGACAAGTTTTTTTCTTTTAACATAACGTTGTGTCGCGTGCAAGCTGCGTAGTTCTTCACACGAAGAGGTACCACTTTGCATCTTTTTTTTTTCGGATTCGCAAAAAGTGGTGCTCACAACAACAGTTTGTGTGTCGCATCATCAACTAGAGTTGCTAGATTCATCCGTTCTGGAAGAACATACTCATCGCTTTTCTGACGAGCACAATGGGGAAAAACGACAAGGACGAGGCGCCCGTCGACAAGCGCGTGATGTGGCTGGAGCAGCGCATCACAAACGCGATCAAGTTGAAGCCCGTTGAGTCGAAGAAGCTCGTCGAAAACGAAGAGAACCGAGCACAGATGAGCGAGTTTCTGGACACTGCCGACGCACGTCACCTCTATGTATATCAAGCACCCAACGGTGCATTCGTGACGCGCATCGAGGCTCCAGACGAGCTCAAAAAGAAAGGTGTTTTCTTCAGTAAGATGAAGCGCGAGAAGATTACGGATGAGAACCACATGAAAGAAGCCATCGCATTTGGTGACGTGTCTCCAGATACACTGGGCAGTCTGAGCGTTATGACGCGCAACGTGTATGCACCGATCTTGAAGGCCGACAAGCGGAACACCAGCAGCGTCCCCGACGTCGCCGTCAACGAACTCATGAGCGACACCAATGGGCTTCTCTCGCAGCTCCTTGTGACGCTGGGTCTCAGCCAGGGCAAGACGTTTCTGCCAATGCCCCCCATTCATTTTCCACCGCGCATCGACGACTTTGCGATGGATAAGGAAACGCTGTACCTTCTAGAAGGCACCGTCGTGTCGTGGACGGCGCAAATCAAAGCCGCCATCGCCTCGGCTCCTGAGGAGCTGGAAGAGATGGTCCCCCAAACCGGCCGCTACCCGGGTCCGCTGGACGAGATTCGCTTCTGGAAAGAAAAATCGGAGAACCTGGCGGGGCTGGAGGAACAGCTCTATTCCGTCAAGTCACTCAAGATCCTCGTGCTACTGAAGCGCGCCAGCAGCAGCTACTACGCGCCGTTTTCGCAGTTAATGGGCGAGTTGAAGGAGGCCGCCTACGAGTCCCGCGACAACTACCAGTACCTCAAGCCCCTCATCCCTGAGTTCGAGCAGATGTGCTTCTCCGGGGACCACCTGGCGTTCTCGGAGTTGGCGACAAGCGGACTCTTCAAGCGCCTTTTCCACTTTTTGTACCTCCTGTGGACGCAGTCGGGCTTCTACAACAACCCGGCGCGTCTCGTTTTTCTCATCCGAGAGATGGGCAACGACCTCATTGAGATGGCGGCCGAGCACATCAGCGTCGCCGAGTTCGCTGAGGGATTCGAGAAGAAGGATGTGATTGACCGCCTGAGCACGGCCCTGGCGATCTGTGGCGAGTTCAAGGCGTCGTACTTTCAGTACAAGTCGCACGTGTCCTCCATCGCGCGGCCGTGGAAGTTCCAAAACGCGGCCCTCTTCTCCCGGCTGGACGCGTTTCTCGAGCGCTGCCACGATCTGCTCGACGTCGTTGAGACAGCGCTGCTCTTCGACAAGATGGAAAATATGAGGATCGGCGGCACCAAGGGCCAGAACTTGACAACGGAAGCGGAGGAGATCAAGCGCACTTTCGATGCGTCGGTGGCGCGCTTTTTCAGTGTCGACTACAACCTTCTCGACATCACAAACACGCGGTTTGAAGCGGACTACGACGATCTCAAGACGGTGATTCGCGACCTGGAGGAGCGTCTCGGATTCATCCTTGCCACCACCATTGATGACTCGAGCGCCATCACGGAGGTCTTCAAGGCTGTCGACACGTTCGACGGCTTCACGGAGCGCACGCCCATGCAGCAGGAATGGCTGAAGAAGCAGAGCGGCGTGCTGAACGACTTCCATCAAGACTTGCTGACCGCACAAGAGACTTACTACTCTGGTGAAGCCTCTGGTGTCTACCCGAACATGCCTCCGGTTGCCAGCACCATCATACGCTGCAAGGCTCTGTTGGATCGCATCAACGAAAGCCACAACCGTGTCGTGGACTTGTCTCAGACCGTCCTGCAGAGCGAGCGCGGTGTGGAGGCGTTGCAGCTCTACGAAAAGCTGAAAGAGCTTCTGCAGAACACCATCACCGAAAAGTTCCAGAAATGGACGTCCGAGGTGTCCGGCATCCGCGCCGACAAGCTGCGGCTGCCGGTGCTCACGACCGACCGCAACAAGCACATCGCCGTCAACTTCGACGCGTCCCTCGTCAAGACGCTGCGCGAGGTGTACTACATCGAGGTGCTCAACTCCTACGACACGAGCGGGGTCGGCCAGTTTGAAGTTCCGCCGGATGCGGAGGCGATCTTCTCGAAGCGTAACGTGTACCGCGACCAGGCGCTGAAGCTCGAGTACGTGTGCACCACCTACAACAACCTCAGCTCCAGCCTCCGTCCCGACGACGAGCGGCCTCTCATCGAGGACGAGCTACAGAAGTTCGAGGCGTATGTGTCTCGCGGAGTGAAGGATGTCCGGTGGGAGAACGAGGAAGCCACCGACGCCTTTATCGCCGAGGCGTTGAAACAGGTGACGGACATCGACACGGCGGTTTCGACGCTGCACAACAACGTGCAGAAGCTGAAGGACTCCATGGAGCACTACAAAGATGAAGACCAGCAATTCCCGCTCGACGCCGCCAAGGGCGCCAAGACGATGTCGGAGGTGGAGCTCCGCAAGACGCTCGGCGACTACCTCGAGTCTCGCGCCAACGGACTGAAGGAGCGCAACACGGAAATTCACTCCTTGACGGAGAACAGCTTCGCGGCGCTGCGGACGTTGAAGGAGGCGAACGGCGACGCGAGTGTCAGCGCGAGCGATCCGGCGTGGCAGAAATACCTCTCCTACGTCAGCTCTGTCGTGCGGGACTGCCTCGCGGAGGCGACGATGGCGTTCTTGACGAACCTGCGCAACCAGCTGGACCCCGTCTGGCTCGCTGACAACGACGGCATCCCACTGGTCGACGTGAAGCTGTGCCTCTCCAAGGTGACGACGGAGCATCCGGTGTGCACGTCTCGCTTTGATCCGGCGCTGATGACAGAGGAAAAGGAGGAGAAGTCGGTGTGGCAGACCCTCAGCGATACCATCAACGGCGTCATCGGCTCATCGGGCTTGATCGACCCCGTCCACGGCACCGCACCGTACACGGAGGGGCTGCAGCAGAACGAAGGCGTGCAGAACCTCGTGGAGGAGATTCACCATCTCTTTCAGCAAAACGTCACCGCGTGCGAGGAGTACCTTCACGTGTACGACGAGTTCAAATCACTGTGGGAAACGGACCGCAAGAAGGTGTTTGCGCAGTTTATCGACAGGGAGCGCCGCAGGGATTCGCGCATCAGCATGACCATGGATGACGCCGCCGCCACCGCCGTGGCAAACGCGCAAAAGCCAACAGAGTACTTTGGGGTCAGTCTGCAGGAATTCGATCGCGCCATCACAGAGTACACGCGCATTCGAACGCGTCTCTCCTCGATCGAAGATCGGCACCGCGAGGGTGCTGTGCTGGTGGATGTGAAGCCGCTGCGTGTCACTCTGCGCGACCTCAGTCGGCGGTGGAAAGAGATTTATTCCGACTACCTTCTCGACAAGATCAAGACCGACCTGAACCACCTGTACACCTTCATGAAGGATGCGGACAAAGGCCTGGAGGTGGAGGTGCTCGATGGCGACGTTGACGCGCTCAAGTCCGTCATGCGCTGGATCCGTGACTGCCGCAAGCGCAACACCGAGGTCATGGGAGACGACGAGACGGGCGAAACCGGCGGCATGTTTCCGCCCATCAAGGCAGCCATCAGCATGTTGAAAACGCACGCAAGCACGTCACCGGACGCAGAAACGGAGCTGGCGAAGATCGAGAAACTGGAGGAGTTGCGCAAGCCCGCCCCGGAGCAGTGGGTCGCACTGAACAAGAAGGCACTGAACGCGCGCGCGCAGAACTCGATCGTGCAGGACCGCGAGGCAGAGAAGGTGAAGGAGGATGTCGCCACCTTTGAACATGAGCTCGACGCGGAAGTTGAGGCGTTCCACAAGAACCCGCTCTTTTCCTACGCGATTCAACCAGACGAGGTGTACGACACCATTGACACCGTCTACCGGCACTTCATGAACGTGGAGAAGAAGGCGAAGGAGCTGCAGAACCTGCAGGACCTCTTCGACCTCGCCGTTTCGCACTTCAAGAGCATCCGCGAGTGCCGCCAGGAGCTGGCGCTGCTGCGCCAAATCTGGGATTTGAACTTTCACGTCACGTCTCAGTTTCATGACTGGATGCGATCGACTTTCAAGGATGCCGACGTTGCACATTTTGAGGACGAGGCCAAGAAGATGGCGAAGCAGCTTCAGCTGCAGCCGATGAAGGTGAAGGGCTGGGGTGTCTTCAAAGGCGTGGACGAGACCGTGCGTAACATGCGCACGTCACTCCCACTCTGCGACTCGCTAAGCTCGCCGGCGATGCGCCAGCGTCATTGGGATGAGCTGGTGCGGGCGACGAATCAGCCCGGCACCATCAACCCGAGCGCCGCAGACTTCACCCTGGAGAAGCTGTTCGCGCTGGGACTCCACAACTACGCAGAGGAGGTCGCGAACATTGTCGAGAAGGCCGAAAAGGAACTGCGCATTGAGACGAACCTGCGCAAGATCATCGAGGCGTGGGAGAAGCTGCGCTTCACCTACGACAAGGACGCACATCTGGACTGCTACCTGCTGGGGCCGGTGGACGACGTGGTGGAGCAGCTGGAGAATGACAACAACGCACTCTCCTCCATGCTGTCCGATCGCTTTGTGGATTACTTTTACGAGAAGGTGCTGGCGTGGCAGAAGGACCTTGGACTTGTCGACACGTGCACCACCAAATGGATGGACATTCAACGTCAGTGGCAGAATCTGTTCCCCATTTTTGTGCTGTCCGAGGACATCAAGGTGCAGCTGCCCGAAGAGGCGAAGCAGTTCAGCGAGGCCGACCGCGTCTTTCGTCTGCTCATGAGCAAAGCGCACCCGTACACGAGCCCCGTCGAGGTCATCTGCTCCAGCAAGCTTTCCGAGGACATCGGCCGCGGCGAGACTTTAGAGGAAACACTCAACTACATCCAGGATATTTTGAATCGGTGCGAGAAGGCCCTGGCAGATTACCTGGAGATGAAGCGCAAGCTGTTCCCGCGCTTCTTCTTCGTCTCGGACACCGACCTCATCGACATCCTGTCCAAAGGCTCCGACCCGCGCGCGGTGATGGAGCACATGAGCAAGATCATGGACTCCGTGGACACGTTCTTCTTCGATAACAACCACAACCCTAATCCGGGAGAAAAGGACGTGTGGCAGATGATCTCGATCCAAGGCGAGAAGGTCACACTGGCGGAGAGCTTCAACTGCGACGGCGCGGTCGAGGTGTGGATGGAGGGACTGGTGCAGTGTGTGAGGCGGAGCATGAAGCAGCACATCCGTGACGCGAACGCCGGCTACATCGAGAAGCCGCGAAACGAATGGATTTACCAGTACCCGTGTCAGGCGGTGATTGTGGCATCTCGCATCTGGTTCACCACCGAGGTGCATCAGGCGTTTACGCAAATTGAGGAGGGCAACGACATGGGCATGAAGGACCTGCTGAAGAGCCAAAAGTCGCAGCTGGACAGCCTCATCAAGGAGGTACTGCTCGACCGCTCCTCGACGGATCGGAAGATGCTCGTCCACCTGATCACAATCGACGTACACAACCGCGACATCGTGCAGAACATGGTGGACGAGCGCGTCGACTCTGTTGAGTCGTTCAGCTGGCAGTCGCAGCTGCGCTACTACTGGGACGAAGCCAAGGGGAGTGAGATCCGCATCGCGGATGCGGACTTCATCAACGCGTACGAGTACATCGGCCTCTGCGGCTGCCTTGTTATTACGAAGCTGACGGACCGCTGCTACATTACGCTCACACAGGCGCTGCGGCTGAACCAGGGCGGTGCGCCTGCCGGGCCCGCCGGTACCGGCAAGACGGAAACGACGAAGGACTTGGCGCGCAACATGGGCGTTGCCTGCTACGTCTTCAACTGCTCTGATCAGATGAACTACATTACGCTGGGGCAGATCTTCAAGGGACTCGCCATGTCCGGCTCATGGGGCTGCTTCGACGAGTTCAACCGCATCTCCATCGAGGTGCTCTCGGTCGTCGCGACGCAGGTGGGCTCCGTGCTTAACGCGCTGAAGGAGAACAAGTCGCGGTTCCGCTTCATGGATGAGGAGATCTCCATCAAGCGCTCCGTCGGTATGTGGATTACCATGAACCCTGGCTACGCCGGTCGTACAGAGCTGCCGGAGAACATCAAGTCGCTGTTCCGCCCGTGCGCCATGTGTGTGCCCGATCTCAAGAACATTTGCGAAATCATGCTCGCCGCGGAGGGCTTTGGTGACGCGAAGGACCTCGCATTGAAGTTTGTGACGCTCTACCGTCTCAACAAGGAGCTGCTCTCCCCACAAGACCATTACGACTGGGGTCTGCGTGCGGTGAAGTCTGTGCTGTACATCGCCGGCGCCCTCAAGCGTGGCGACCCCGACCTGCCGGAGCGAAATGTGCTGATGCGCGCTCTGCGCGACACGAACATGGCGAAGCTGAGCAAGGATGACGTGTACGTCTTTATGGGGCTCATCCGCTCCCTCTTTCCGAACCTGGACGTGCCCAAGAAGGACAAGCCGGAGCTGGTGGCGGCGTGCAAGGCGGTGTGCAAGGAGCATGGCAACTTCCCCGGCGAGAACGACATTTTCATTCTCAAGTGCGTGCAGTACGAGGAGCTGTTGCACGTGCGCCACTCCGTGTTCATCCTCGGCGCCGCCGGTGCCGGCAAGACGGAGTGCTGGCGCTGTCTGCAGGGCGCGCTGACGAAGCTGCATCAAGATGAGTGGAAGGCGAAGGCGGTCTCGTCCTGCCTGAACCCGAAGGCCATTTCCTCCAACGAGCTGTACGGCTTCTTCACGCCGCAGAAGGAGTGGCGCGACGGCATTCTCTCCACCATTTTCCGTGACTACGCCGTCGAGTCCAAGAAGAAGAAGAACATGAAGTGGATCGTGCTGGACGGCATCATCGATGCGGAGTGGATCGAGTCCATGAACACGGTGATGGACGACAACAAGATGCTCACCTTGGTTTCCAACGAACGCATCCCCCTGACGGACTCGATGCGCATGATTTTCGAGGTCTCACATCTGCGCAACGCCTCACCCGCGACAGTGTCACGCGCCGGTGTCATCTTCATCAACGAGTCCGATCTTGGATGGGGTCCGTTTAAGGACAAGTGGATCGCCTCACGCGAGAGGCGCGAGGGCCTCCTCCTCGACAACCTCTTCGACAAGTACGTGCCCGCGGTCTTCGACTTTTGGAAGCGCACCATGCGGCCGATCGTGGCGGTGATGGACATCAACGTTGTGCAGACCATCTGCTTCTTGCTCGATGGCATTTTCAAAACGATGGAGGCGGATGAGCTGGCGAAGAACTCCAACACGTTGGACGTCTACGAGAAATACTTCGTCTTTGCCGTTATCTGGGCCTTTGGCGGACCGCTGCCGAGCTCGGACGGTCGCATCGACATGCGCCTGAACTTCTCCAACCAGTGGAAGAAGGAATTCCCGAACATGAAGATTTCAGAGACGGCGTCCATCTTTGACTTTTACATCGAGAAGTCGAAGGACGAGGCCGGGGCAGTGACGTTCGACTGGAAGCCGTGGACGGACCTCGTGAACCCCTACACCCCCGATCCGGACGTCCAGCTCTCCGCCGTGTCCGTGCAGACCGCCGACACGGTGCGCATGTCCTACCTCATGAGTCTCTTCGTCGACAACGCACGCGGCGTCATGTTGGTGGGCACTGCGGGTACTGGCAAGACGAACCTCATCATGTCGAAGCTGCGCTCCTTCGATGGCGAGAAGATGCTCTTTCGCGTGGTGTCCTTCAACGCGCGCACCTCCTCGAGCGGCCTGCAGGCGGTCATGGAGCAGTCGCTCGAGAAGCGCTCCGGCCGTACCTACGGGCCGCCGAACCGCAAAAAGCTGGTGTTCTTCCTGGACGACATGAACATGCCCGCGCCGGACAAGTACGGCACGCAGGAGGCCATCGCACTGCTGCAGCAGCACGTCGGGTACGGCTTCTGGTACGACCGAGTGAAGATTATTCAGAAGGAAGTTGTGGATGTGCGCTACGTGGGCGCGATGAACCCCAAGTCCGGCACCTTCACCGTCCTCGATCGCCTGCTGCGCCACTTCGCCGTCTTCTCCACAAACATGCCGGAGCGCGGCGACTTGGTGAGCATCTACGGCCAAATCCTGAAGGCGCACATGACGCCCTTCTCCCGTGACATTCGCGAGACGCTGACGACCCTCCTCACCAACGCCACGATCGAGCTTCACGCCAACGTGGCGAAGCTCTTCTTCCCGACTGCCATCAAGTTTCACTACCAGTGGAACATGCGCGAGATGTTCAACATTTTCCAGGGCCTCTGCAAGTCGAACCCGAAGCTGCACAACAGCAGTTTGAAGCTTGTCCGGCTGTGGGTGCACGAGTGCAACCGCACCTTCCGCGATCGGATGGGCGACGAGGCCGACATGAAGCGCTACGATGTCCTTCTGCAGGAGGTGATCGGCCGCGCCGGATTCGCCGATGTCAGTGCGAAGGACGTGCTGGAGGAGCCGCTGCTGTGGGCACCCTTCCACACCACCCCCGGTGGGGAGGAGAACGTGTACAACGAGACGAATTACGACGAGGCCGGTGACTTCCTGCGCCGCAAGCTGACCGACTACAACGATAACTACGCTGCGATGAACCTCGTGCTGTTCAACCAGGCTATCGAGCACGTCTGCCGCATCTCACGCATCACGTCCAACCCACGCGGTAACGCCTTCTTGGTTGGCGTAGGTGGCTCCGGCAAACAGTCCTTAGCGCGCTTAGCGTCGTACCTCAACGGGCACGACATCTTCCAAATCCTCGTAACGAGCACCTACGACATCAACGACTTCCGCGCGGATATGCAGGAGCTGTACCGCAAGTGCGGCCTGCGCGGGTACCCCTTTGCGTTCATCATCACCGACACGCAGATTGTGTCGATGGACATGCTGGTTTACCTCAACGACATGCTGAGCAGCGGCAATGTGCCGGAGCTGTTCAACCAAGACGAGCGCGACGGCATTGTCGGCTCCATCACGAACGAGGTGAAGGCCGCGGGCGTCAGCGACTACACGAACCCAGACGTGTGCTGGGACTACTTCATCAACAAAGTGCGTTCAAATTTGCACATTCTCCTCTGCTTCTCGCCGGTTGGCAAGAACTTCGCGTCGTGGTGTCGGCAGTTCCCTGCGTTGGCGAATACGACGGTCATTGACTGGTTCCTCAGTTGGCCGGAGCAGGCGTTGAGGTCGGTAGCGCAGCGCTTCCTGTCGGAGATCGAGCTGGGTGGGGAGGAGATGACGCGGAGCATTGCCGACTTCATGGCGTACTGCCAAGTGCGGGTGACGGAGTCGTGCGAGGAGTACTACACCCAAGAGAAGCGCTACGCCTACACGACCCCGAAGACATTCCTCGAGCTGATTGCCTTCTACAAGGATCTGCTGGCGCGGAAGCGGAAGGAGAACAGTGACCAGACGGAGCGACTTGTCAGCGGTATTGACAAGATCAAGGAGGCCGGCGTGCAGGTGCAGGCACTGCAGGAGGTCTTGCAGCGCGAAAGCATCGAGGTCGAGGAGGCGCGCCAGAAGACCGCAGCGCTGATGGAGACCGTCGGCCGCGAAAAGTCCATTGTTGAGGAGCAGAGCGCGATTGCCGCGAAGGAGGAGGAGAAGACGAACAAGATCGTGGACGAGGTGTCTTCGTTTGAGAAGCAGTGCCAGGACGATCTGGCGAAGGCCCAGCCTTTGGTGCAGGAGGCTCTCGCGGCTCTCGACACCCTCGACAAGGCATCCATTGCGGAGCTGAAGAATTTGGGTAAGCCGCCGGAGGATGTGCAGATGGTCGCTATCTGCGTCTTTGTGCTCACTTCAAACCCGCGCTCCATTCCGTCGATGAAGCAGCGCACGTGGAATGAGTGCAAGAAGATGATGAACCAGGTGGACCGCTTCTTGGCCGAGCTGCGCGGCTTTGACGTGAACAACATCCCGCAGGCCTGCATCGACCAAATTCAGATCTACATCAACAACCCGTCTTTCAACCCTGACATCATCAAGACCAAGTCGTACGCCGCGGCGGGTCTGTGCAAGTGGGCCATCGGCATGAACCGCTACCACTACGTGCGGTGCGATGTGCGACCCAAGGAGGAGCGCCTGGCCGAGGCTCAGCAGCGTCTGACGTCGAGCCGTGCTGCTCTGAAGAAGATTCAGGACAAGGTCGCCGACCTGAAGAGCAAGCTGGACACGCTGGTGAGTCAGTACGACCAGGCCGTCGCGGAGGCAAACGCCATCGAGGCCAAGGCGAAGAAGACGAAGCTGAAGATGAACCTGGCGCAGCGCCTTGTCAGCGGGCTGTCAGACGAGAGCGTGCGCTGGGGCGACACGATTGAGAAGCTGAAGGAAGCCGCCAACCTGCTGATCGGCGACGTGCTGCTGAGCGCGTCGTTTGTGTCATACATCGGCCCTTTCTCGAAGGCATTCCGCGAGCAGATTGTGGAGCAGGACTGGATCCCGTACATCCGGAAACTTGGCATCCCCATGACGGAGGGCATCGATGCGACCATGGACGTCCTCACCTCGGAGGCCGCGGTAGCGTCGTGGAACAACGAAGGCCTGCCATCGGATCGTGTATCGACGGAGAATGGCGCCATTCTGACCAACTGCATGCGCTGGCCGTTGCTGATTGACCCGCAGCTGCAGGGCATCAAGTGGATCCGCACGCGCGAGGAGAAGAACGGTCTGCGCGCGGTGCAGACCTCGCAGAAGGGCTGGCAACGCACGCTGCAGACCTGTATCGAGGAGGGACTTCCCTGCCTGATCGAGGGTCTGGGCGAGTTTGTGGAGCCAGTGCTGGACGGCGTGCTGAGCCGCCAGACGTTCCGCAAGGGCGGCCGCCAGTTCATCAAGCTCGGCGCGACGGAGGTAGAGTACAACCCGAAGTTCCGTCTCATTCTGCAGACCAAACTCGGAAACCCGCACTACGGACCGGAGGTCAACGCGCAGACGACGCTCATCAACTTTATGGTGACCGAGACCGGCCTGGAGGATCAGCTGCTGGCGGTGGTGGTGAGCCAGGAGCGGCCTGACCTGGAAAAGAAGCGTGGTATGCTGATTCGGCAGATGAACACGATGACCATCGAACTGCAGGAGTGCGAGGATGGCCTGCTGTTTGAGCTCACCAACGCGACAGGCGACATCTTGGAAAACGTGACCCTCGTGGAGAACTTGGAGGCGACCAAGTTAAAAGCGAAGGAGATTAACGCCTCGTTTGCGCTAGCTAGCGCCACGCAGAAGGACATTGCGCAGAACCGACTGCGCTACACCGAGGTGGCGGTCCGCGGCTCTCTTCTGTTTTTCCAGATCGACCAACTGTGGAAGATCGACCACATGTACCAATACTCACTGGAAGCTTTCATGGTGGTCTTCAACAAGGCCCTCGCCAGCGCGCCGCAGCCGGAGAACAAGAAGGACGTCACGAAGCGGGTGACAAACGTGATTCAGTCCATCACGGAGAACGTGTTCGCGTACGTGTCACGCGGCCTCTTCGAGCGCCACAAGCTCATCTTCTCGAGTCTTCTGACCTTCTCCATTCTCACCCGTCGCGGCGACATCGATGTGAAGCAGCTCGACTTCTTGTTGCGCGGCAAGAAGAAGACGGGCGTCGAGCGGCCGGAGACGGTGACGGGGTGGTGCACGCAGCCGAACTGGGACGCCGTGCAGGCGCTTGCCGAGGTGGAGGGCTCGACGCCGGAGTTCAACACGCTGCCGAGCGACATGGCCGAGAACAACCGCTGGCTTCAGTACTGCGAACTGGAGAAGCCGGAGGTGGAGAAGATGCCGGGCGAGTGGAAGAACCTGACGGACTTCCAGCGGCTGCTGGTGCTGCGCTGCCTGCGTCCGGATCGTCTGACGGCGGCGCTGGAGATGTACGTGGGCAACATGATTGGCCGCTTCTTTGTGTCCGACCAAGCCGTGGACATTTCGGTGTCCTACCAGAACTCGAGCACCACCACCCCGCTCTTCTTCATCCTGTCTCCTGGCGTGGACCCGGTCAAGGCGGTCGAGGAGCTCGGCCGCAAGCTGGGCTTCACCTACGACAAAGAGAACTTCTACAACGTGTCGCTAGGGCAGGGCCAGGAGGTGGTGGCCGATCGCGCACTCGACAAGTGCTTCGCCGAGGGTGGCTGGGCGCTGCTGTCGAACATCCACCTGGTGGAGAAGTGGTTGCGCACGCTGGAGCGGCGCCTCGACACGTACGCCGAGACGTACACGCGGGTGGCGCAGCTGCGGAAGGAGATCGCGGAGCGCAAGGCGAGCGAGCGCGCGGCGGCGGCCGGGGCAGCGGCGCACCCGCACGACGACGAAAATGGCGGGTCCGAGGGCGACGGAGCAGCGGAAGAGGCGAAGTCGGTGCCCTCGCAGGACGAGGCGGAGGGCGGCGAGACGGACGAGGAGGCGATGGAGGAGAGCGGCGAGGGTGCCGAGGCGGCCAACGCGATTGTCGTGACGGACGACGAGATCCCGTTTGAGGGCGTGATGGGCCACCCAGACTTCCGCGTCTTTCTCAGCGCTGAGCCGTCCGACGTGATCCCGATTGGTGTTCTCCAGCGCTCGGTGAAGCTGACGTCGGAGCCGCCGACGGGCATTCGCCAGAACATCGTCCGCGCCATGAGCAACTTCAGCGACGAGCCGTGGGATCGCAGCGCGAAGCCGACGGAGTACCGCTGCATCATGTTCTCCATGTGCTTCTTCCACGCGGTCGTCGTGGAGCGCAAGAAGTTCGGCCCACTGGGCTGGAACCGTGCTTACCCGTTCAACGCCGGCGACCTCACGACGTGCATGGAAGTGGCAGCGAACTACATCGAAGACCGGCCGAAGGTTCCGTGGGAGGACCTGCGCTACGTCTTCGGCGAGATCATGTACGGCGGCCACATCACCGACGACTGGGACCGCGTGCTGTGCATGGCCTACCTGCAGAGCTTCATCGTGCCGGAGTGCTGCGACGGGCTGCTGCTTGCGCCTGGCGTGACGGTACCGGCGCCTGCCAGCTACCACGAGTACGTGCAATGGCTGACGACCTCCGACGACTTCCCCGCCGAGTCGCCGCTTCTCTACGGGCTGCACCCCAACGCTGAAATCAACTACCGCACGACGCAGGCCGAGTTGCTTTTCCGCACCATCAACGAGCTGCAGCCGAAGAAGCACAGCGGCGGTGACATGCTCAGTCCGCAGGAGATCGTGCAACAGAAGATCGACGAGATTCGTGAGCGCCTGCCCGAGCCGCACAACCTGCTGGACCTCGCCGAGCGTCTTGAGGATGACCGCTCGCCGCAGCAGCACGTCTTCTACCAAGAGAGCGAGCGCATGAACCTCCTCATTGAGACGCTCCGCGTCTCGCTGGAGGAGCTGGACCTTGGCCTGAAGGGTGCCCTGTCGATGAGCTCCAGCATGCAGGAGCTGTTTGATCAGATCTTTCTGGACAAGATGCCGGAGAAGTGGTCTCGCGTGTCGTTTATGACGCAGCGCATGCTTGGCTCGTGGGTGGATAACTTTCTCGTGCGTAACGAGCAGTTGGTGAACTGGAACGCCGACCTGCAGACGCCGAAGGTCACGAATATCGCCCTCTTCTTCAACCCGATGTCCTTCTTAACGGCCATCATGCAGACCACCTCCATCATCAACAGCTTCGATCTGGATCAGATGGCACTGGTGGTGGATGTGCTGAAGAAGTCGGCAGACCAGATTGAGTCCAACGCACGCGATGGGTGCTACGTGACGGGCCTCTCCATGGAGGGCGCCCGCTGGGACGCGAGCGGCGGCTGCATCGACGACAGCCGGCTGAAGGAGCTGTACCCGAAGATGCCCATCATGCAGGTCCGCTCGCTCCCGCTGAGCAAGATTGACCGCCGTGACCAGTACGAGTGCCCGGTGTACAAGACGCAGGAGCGCGGACCTGGCTTTGTGGTCGGCTTCTTCCTCAAGACCAAGCAGCCGCCGCGCAAGTGGGTGATTGCAGGCGTAGGTCTGCTCTTGGACGTGGTCGAGTAAGCGGCTGCCGCAGCGGCCCACAGGTCCAGGCAGCCTGTTCAGCGGCTTTCCCGCGTACGTCCCCGCCCCCCCCCCCCAAAAAAAAAAAAAACGAGAGGTATAACTTTTCTTGTCGGTGCGTGGCGGAGAGTGCCTTCTCTTCATTCTTTCAAACAATCTTTATGGTGCTGTAGTTTTGTGTCTCTCTGTTGTCCCCGTGAAGTGTCGCGAATATGATGAACAAACGCGTCTTTTCCGACGATGCGCCATTCCGTTTGATTTCGCCCCTCTTGGGTGTTTCTCTTGTTTTATTTCCCATGTCCAGTTTTTTTTTTGAAGATGATTTTTTTATCTTTCCTTGATGTAATGTTCTACACCACTGCAACCAACAACAAAAACAATATCAACAACGTGAAGAGCTAAAAGTCACAGGGCTACCATGAATGAGCTGAAGGAGAACGGGAGCACCGCGTGCTAACGCGAGTGTGATGTCAAGCTGATTGGCGGTGATGGCTCTTTAAGGCCTCCGAAGTCCTGCGCTCTGTTCTTGGACGATTGAAAGAGCGGCTTTGTCGCTCACACTGCTGAGGCTAAAGGCGAATCATTCTCTTCCGCTCTTTCTTCTGTCATTTCGACTTTTCCACTCTTATAGCAGGTACATGTAAGACCCTGAACTATCTCTCCGTCTGCGCGCACAGCTTACCGTACTTTCCCGTCCTCGTCGCTTGCCTTTCCTCGCTTTCTGTCTTTGTTTTTTCGCGACTTCCTTGCTCATGTTGTGGCTAGCTCACCCACTCGAACAGACGAGCTGGCACATGTCTTGAGATCAGAAAGGCACTTACTTTTCTTTTCGTTTTCACACAATACCAGGTGTCAAAGAAAGAGCAGGGATCCGCTCGAAAGGAAAGAAAAAAGTCACGTTCTGCTTTGCGTGGAAGAATGAGCTTCAACGAGGCAGCACTCCAGTATATCCAGACGGCGCGCGACAATGGTTTGCTATTCAACGGGAGCGATGTGCCCGCGATGGTCGACTACGCCGATGAAAAGCGCAAGAGTTATCTCGTGCGGGGTGCGCACTTTGAGGTGCCGTCGCACTTCGAGGTGCTGAATGCGGTTGGGTACGGCGCCTACGGTGTGGTGTGCGCCGCGGTGGACCTGCGCCTGGTGCCGTCCAGCACGAGCTACAACGCGGCGTTGCGGCAGATTGAGAAGGAGGGCCAGTTTGTGACGCGCCAGGCACGCAACCGTGACCCGCCAGTCTATTACCGCACCCGGTGCTTGCTGGCCAGCGCCGCCCCCGGGCGCAGCGTACATGTCCCGAACCTGTATTCGGAGCCGTACAAGCGGCGTGCTCTCGCGGGAGGCGAGCCGTCGCCTTTCGTGGCGATGAAGAAAGTGTCCAAGGTCTTCGACGACCTCGTCGATGGACGTCGCATCCTGCGGGAGGTGAAGGTGCTCCGCTACTTGCAAGGCCACCCCAACGTAATTCGATTGCTGGAGGTGCGATGGCCACCACCCGCGGCAGGCGGCGCGAGTAGCACGGCTGCGCTGGATGATGTGTACCTGGTCACCGAGCTCATGGACACCGACCTCGCTGCTTTGCTGAAGTCTTCGCAGCAAATCAACATGGAACAGTTGCGCTTCATCGCGTACCAACTCATTAAGGTGCTTGTGTACGTGCACAGCAGCGGCGTCATGCACAGAGATTTGAAGCCAGGCAACGTTTTGTTGAACGGCGACTGCGACATGAAACTTTGCGATTTTGGGCTCTCACGCGGCGGCATCCCACTCTCAGTCAAAGGGCGGAGTAGCAGCGGCAGCACGTGGAGCATGCCCGATCCCGATCTCGAAGAGATGTCGCAGTGGGAGCAGCTGTGTTGGTCGAGTGGGCCGCCCGAACCACAGCAGCCGGTCTTTACCAAGACCAAGACGGCACCGCTGTACAGCCTCACCGACTACGTTGTCACGCGTTACTACCGTGCGCCGGAGTTGCTCGTTATGAGCCGCTACAACCACGCAATTGACATGTGGTCAGTGGGCTGCATTCTCGCCGAGATGCTGCTGCGTCGCCCGCTGTTTGCGGGCACCAATTACCTCTCCCAGCTGACGCTCATCCTGGAGACGCCGGGGCTGCGCGCCGTGCCGCACACGCCCGAGCAAGTCGCCGCTCTCTTCGACGGCGGCGAGGAAGGCAAGCACCTCATCAGCGACCTCCTCTTTTTCCGCAACACGCCGCCGACCGGTGCGTCGCAGACGGTGCGCGGGCAGGTGCACTCGCAGGCCCTCTTCCACAGCGCCGTCTTCGGCTCTAACGCGGACGTTCCGGTCGAGCTTGGCATCTTGGTGGCGAAGCTGCTCTCCTTCGATCCGCAGAAGCGGCCCACCGCGGTAGAGGCGCTGCGCGACCCCTTCTTCCGCCCTCTCTACGACGCGAGGGACGAAATTGTGCGATCGCCGGCGATGGATGTGTCGGAGGTGCAGGAGTGCATTCCGGATATCGCAGCCTACCAAAGGATGCACCCCTGCGTGGTGCAGGACGAAGCGCCGCCCTTTACGTGGGAGTTTGACCACCGCATCACAAGCAGCCAGTCGCTACGTGCGCTGTTTCAAGAGGAGTGCGCGGCCTCCATGGATGTGCAGCGCCAGATCAAGAAGCAAAATCCTGCGACGGACACTCCTTTCTCAGCTTGAGAAAATCTGTTAGCGCTCCTGTGCAAATGCCTGGGAAGCGCACCGGCTCACACGCACACCGACGCTCGAGAGCTGAACACTTACCTTTCCACGCTTTCCTTTGCGTTGCGACGCTCCGGCGGGCTCGCGGCCCTCCCGGCCCCGTAAGCCTTTTCCTTTTGCTTCCTGTTTGCTGATACAATACACATGCGTGTTTCTCTTTTTGGAGTCTCTCCGTGGCAGCGCATACGCATCGAGTGGTGGGCGCTTCGCCCACGTATCCAAAAAAAAAGATACATATGAAACTCCGCCCTCTAAATCCACACCTTTTTCAAAGCTGCGCTTTACCCCCGCTGATAAGCGCGGCTCCTCTATTCGGTGTTGTTTGAGCATTGTCGAAAACAATTAAAGGAGCCAGAGTGACGACTAATAACGCGTGGTCCCTCGCGCGCCGTTGCACGCACGCCGTTGACGTTGGGGCGCTTGAACTTCTTCTTCTTTTACTCCGTTTTTTTCTCTTTTGGGTCCTTTATCGCTTCTATTTCTTTTTTAATGCATTTTCGCGCGTGCGATGCAGAGCAGAGCACCGGTGTCTGGAGCAGAACAGTGGACAGAATAGTCACGCTGTTCTCTGGCGTGTGGCGTGCAACGACATTGTTGTGAACAACCATAGACATCACGCACCAAATACATACGGAGAAGAAGCGTTAGAAGAATACTTCTCTCTTGTCCCTACGAACAACTCAGTGCTAGGGCTATAAACAAACAACCAAAAAGAACAACGAAGAACGACGAGACGACGTTTCCGCGGCCGCTCGCAACGGTGTTTGTCAAGCGGAAGAGATCAGCACGGATTCATTCTTGCGCTTCTCCTCTCCCGTCTACGCGTTAAGGAAGATACAAAAAGTCACGATCGGAACGAGAGACGCCTTGCTGGAGCATCACTGTGCCACGGATGCTGCGTAGAAGCACCCTCTTTGCTGGCCAGCGCTGTCGGCTCGCGCTGGCCTTGAGCGGCTGCGCCGCCCTTAGCCGCACCAGTCGCACGTACGCCACCTCCTCCACGCACCCCGTCTACGCAGCGGCCGCGGTGGCTCCGGCCACAGCGTCACCGCCGTCGACCACCACGGCCACTGCCGCCGTCGCGCGTCCCACTCCTGTTCCGTACCCCGCACGTCAGAACCCCTTCTCCCCCACGCTGTTGGCCGATGATCAGAAAGTGCTCCTCGCCAAGGCGCAGTACTGCATCTTTACGCTGGCCTACGATGCGGCGCAGAAGCTCTACGCCGTGTACTCGGCCACGACGAACGAGGTGGTTGTCATGAAGGAGGAGCACATCTGGAAGGCCGCCATGTGGATGGATGAGCGCATCGGTGAGGACTACATCGCCGGCCTGTTGTTCGGCTGCGACGCCTCTGCCGAGATCAAGGCGGCCGCGGCGCTCATCAGCAACAAGGCGATGAAGCGCGTTGCGCTGGCACCCGACACGTGGGGCATCACGTACCTCGCCTTCAAGGCACAGCAGGAGGTGGTGAGGGGCGTCGACCTGCCACTCAGCCTCGAGCACGCGTCGTTCTTGCTCACACAGAAGCAGTTCAATGGAACGACCGTGGACCCCCCAGTCTACGACGTCGAGGACGGCGCTTTCAAGTCCGCTGAGGTACTGAAAGGGAGCGGTGCCCCGCGCACCGCTGTGCTTAGCTGGGACGTCCTCTTCAACGTTCATCGACGCTTCGGTACGCCGGGCAGCCGCAAGACGTTGAATCCAGTGGAGCAGATTGTGCGCCGTGTGGTGAAGGCAGTCAACGTGTTTGTGGTGGACATCGACGTGCGCGTTGGCCGCGGCACCATCACCGACGGCTACACGATGGTGGTGACCATCTACGACTCACAGAAGCGCTCGCAGTCGGTGCACATGATCCGCAGCCTGGCCGAGGAGACTGTCAAGCTCAACGCACTGACGACGCTTCTCTACGGCGAGGGCAGCTCTTCCATCTCTCTCTTCGTGCCCACGGCCCGCACCAAGGCGTCGCAGCTGGTGGCCTTTGCCCGCACCTGCCGCCCAAAGAGCCCTTTTTTCGTGGCGGAGATCTCGAGCCTGGCGCCGTACTTTGGCGGCCAGAGCGTCGCGAAGGGCGTCAGCGACGAAAGCGACCCGCGCGCGACGTGGGACCTCATCCGGCACAACTGCTTCGCCGAGAAGCACCTGCGCAAGGAGGAGGACAAGATGGACCGTTACCTGCACCGCGGCTTCACGGCGCTGGCGAACAAGCTCTTCTCCGACCGCCTGCACAAGGTCTCCCCGGCGATCATGAGCGCGGTGAACAGCATTCCGCCGCAGGAGCCGGCCGCTGAGGCGATGACGCAGGTGGGGAGGCTCGCCGAGGAGGCGAAGCGGAATCCAGTGCCGCAGATCACGTCGGCGAGTTTTCTCAACAAGGTGAACATCAATGATGCCGAGGTCGTCTTCAAGCTGCAGCAGTGGCGCAGCACAATCTACGAAGACGCGGGTCGGCTGGAGCGGGAGAAGAAGGCGTTCGAGGGCCTGCAGCGATACCTCGTGGTAGACTTGGAGACGACCACCATTCGTCGGTACAAGCGCGTGGCGAATCCTTTCATTAAGGAAAACTACGTGGTGCTCTCCGGTGCTCGCGACTACAAAGGCAACGTTTTCATGCCGCAGCGCTACTTCGACCGCAGCGTCGCCCTCCGCTACGACGACCCTTCCGTCACGAGTCAGAACCACCTAGTGGAGAAGTCGTCGAAGGACTCACTCTTTCTGCCCCCGCTGGACGACTACGATGTCATCGTGGGCCACAACATCAAGTTCGACATGCTTCACCTCTGGCGCGATGTTGAGTTCCGCAAGTTTCTGCGACGCGGGGGCAAGATCTGGGACACCATGTACGGCGAGTACTTGTTGACGGGGCACGAGGTGAAGCTCGGCCACGGCGCCGGCCTGGAGGATGTCGCGAAGAGCTACGGCGGGCAGACACCGAAGCTGGACGCGGTGAAGCGGGCGTGGGCGGAGGGGAAAGAGACCTACGCGATCCCGTACGCGACCCTGACGGAGTACCTGCATGGCGATCTCGAGAACACTGAGCTCGTCTTCTGCAAGCACATGGAGCGGGCACTGGAGCAGCGGCAGGTGATCATCTGCTGCGCGCGCATGGAAGGGCTTCTGTGCACCACCGAGATGGAGTACAACGGGCTCAAGACGAACGTGGAATTGGCGCAGCGGCAGAGCAGCGAGCTGATGTTGAAGGTGGCCGACTACCGCAAGCAACTAGAAAACTCCATTCCGGCTGAAATCCCACGCGACTGCCGCAAGTTCTTCAACTGGTCGTCGAATCAGCACCTCATCACCTTCTTCTTTGGCGGCAAACTGAAGCTGAGCACCAACGCCCGCGAGAGCAAGCCCCTCACTGGTGAGCTATTCGCCCGGCACACCCTCTTCCTCTCACCGGATCACTTTCCCAAGTCGCAATACCCCGCAGGCGTATTTATGCGGCCACCGGTTCACGTCCTCGGCATCGGCGACTGCGCCATCATGGCCGGAATGCCCACCGAAAAAGGCACGCGGATGTACCGAGGCTACTTCGACGCCTACGCGCGGCAGGCGAACTTCCGCAAGAGCTCGCCGATTATGGATAATCTGCGCCGCGAGGCGACGGCCGTGTCGCGCCTGAGCACCGACAAGCGCGGCGAGACGTCCGCCCTCGCCAACCTGCTGCCGCGACGCCATCTATTTCTCTTTGCCGCCCTCACGCCAACAAGCCGCGACGGCATTGCGAAGCTCTTCGTGAAGAACCCCATCACGGGTGAGTCCGTTACGATCATCGACGGCGACATGGCCGCCCAACTGGAGCAGTTTGTGAGCAAGCAGGTCGCGCAGCACACGGAGATGGTCGTGTCGGTCGACGAGGACGCCTCGACGAGCGATGTGGTGTTTGCCGACGCGCACGTCACCATCCTGGCCCGCGACGCCGGCTTCTCCTTTATGCGCTACCTGCGCAGTGACGTAGCGCTTGGCAGCTACATCGACGCCCACTCCGGCACGCTAGATGAGGTGGAGCAGAAGAAGCGCTACAACATCTCCTTTGCGGACACAGTGTCTATCTTCGCCTACTACCGCCATCAGTTCGCGGACGAGCCGGCGACGACGACGAAGCGGACGTCGAAGCGGACCGGCGGGTCAGGCGAACAGCTCGGCAACACCGTCATCCCAGCGAAGGCGCTCCCCCGCACTACGAAGCGCACCAAGCTCGGCTACGCGGAGGCCTTCAAGAAGATGCTGCTGCAGGAGGCAAACATGAAGCCGGAGGAGTGGTGCAACCACTACATCGACGTGTTTCTCCACATCGCCAACAGCGCCCTGCAGCGCGAGGCGCTCGCCGCCGCCACCACCGCCGCCGCCGCTTCGACCAAACAACGCAAGAGCAAAAAGAACGAGGTGCAGCGCAGCGACGACGACCTGCCGGTGCTGCTGCGGCAACGGCGTGCTTTCGTCGGCTACTACAACTCCCTCCCCGATGCGGAGCGGAAGCGGCTGTCGCTCATGTGCCTCGTGGGCAAGACGATCTCGTCGGCGTATGACAGCTTCGCCATGGCGTGCTCGCACGACGACGTGGTGACGGTGAACATCAGCGGTCGCCTTTCGCAGTACGTGCCGAACGAGCTGGAGCGCGAGCAGGTTATGCGCCGCTTCCGCAGTTCGACGACGCGGCAGCTGCAGGTTGGCGAGGACACGCTGAGCTACTTCAAAGCCCATCACGCAGACCAGACCGCCAGCGTCATTCTCGAGCTGCGCGCACTGGAGAAGCTCATCGGTACCTACTACGAGAGCACCGACGGCGGGACAGGCATGGTGTCGCTGGTGCACGCCGGCGACAGCTGCATCCACCACGAGCTTATCCACAACAAAACGAACACCGGCCGACTTGCCAGCGCGAATCCGAACTGCCAGAATATTCCCAAAGAAGACAAGTCGAGTTTGCGCGACATGTTTGTTAGCCGCTTCGGCGACAAGGGCATGTGCATTGAGGCTGACTACTCCCAACTCGAGGTGGTGGCCCTCGCGGTGCTCGCGTCGGATGAGCAGATGCTCGATGACTTGCGTCACAACGTCGATTTCCACTGCAAGCGTGTGACAATGATGCGGCCGGACCTCAAGTACACGGATGTGCTGCAGCGCGCCAAGAAAAACAAGGAGCCGGAGTTCGTGAAGCTGCGACAGCAAGCGAAGATCTTCTCCTTCCAGCGGCAGTACGGGGCAGGGGTGAAGATGATTAGCCACAGCACGGGTCTCACGCAGGACCAGGTGCGAATGCTCATCGAAAAGGAGAACGAAACCTATCGCGGGGTGGAGGTGTTCAACAAAATGGTGACCCTGTCGGCCAACAGCTACGACGCCTCCCTGCAGAACGGCGCGCGCAACGTGCGCGGCCATCAGTTCTTCAAGGGGATGTTCCCCGTTCTCACCGGCAGCCGCTACATCTTCACGGAGTCGGACGTGCCGGAGGGGATGCTGCGCGAGCGGGTGGCGGTGCGCAAGTCGACGAACTTCTCCCCTACGCACCTGAAGAACTATCCGGTGCAGGGCTTTGCGGGTGAGATCGTGCAAATAATTCTCGGTGTGCTGTGGCGGCACTTCCTGGCGAACAACAACTACAACGGCCTCGCGGTGCTGACCAACACGGTGCACGACTGCGTGTGGGTGGATTGCCACGTCTCGGTGTACAAGCAAGTCGCCAAGGACGTGGAGATGATCATGGACAGCGTGCGGACCGTGCTGAACGCCCTCTACCCGGAGATGCAAGTGTCGGTTGACTTCCCTTGCGATGTTGTCGCGGGCGAAAACATGGGAGCGTTACGGCCCATTATGGAGGAGACAACGCTGTAATCTGAGCGAAGCGTGTGGGTGTGCGTGCAACGGGGAGTGCTTGTTTAGCTGCGCCATTAAAGACGGCGCATCTTCCTTGCGGTGTTACGAGGGTGCGTGAGCAGTGGATGCAACGGCGGCTATTGTGCGCACATCTACGCGGAGGGCAGCGATGACGGTTCCTTCCCTTTCATAGAAGCCTCAAAGGACCCTCATTTTTTCCGTTAAACGACGTCCTGCATTTTTATTTGCGCATACATTCTCTGGATAGACTTTCATAGACAGATCGGCGAATCTCTGCTTTGCCCGTTTTTCTCCCCCACAGGATATCGAGGTTGACGACGTACATAGTGTATACAAATGTATTCATGCATCAACAGCTTGCATCCAACGTACAATCCAGCTATGTGTCTCTTCTTCGTTTTCAGGACACGCAGGGTGGGTAAGCATCCATCAAATAAAATATCCCCAGACCATCAGTCGTCCCAACACACAGCTGTCGCGTCTGAGTCGAGAAGAAGTCGCCGCGTTGCGTCACGACAGCAGCAACAACCAAGACACAAAACACGGTTGCTTGAATGTTTGCAGCCTCGGTTCAGCGCGGCGAGTCACACCCGAAGGGCATAAACGGCTCTTACGCACGCTTTTCTCCTCAGGGCTGCGCTGGGGAATGACAGATGTGTTCATTCTTTCTCTGTAGCCCACTCAAGGAGTGCGCAATATCCGTTTTGCTGCCATTTGCTAACGACGTCTCTCTACGGATTCACACCCCGATATCGCCTGCATCGCACCCGTGCTCTCATGGCGTTCACTTGTCACCTGCAACCTTTCCCTTTACCTTTTCGCCCTCTCCTTCTTCAACCTGAACCCGTCCATGACGATTCCCCTTTCAATGTCCCGCCGACTGACACCCACCTGCTGTTACAATGGAAGATTCATTAGTTCGCCTCATCAGTTAAAATCAATACCCTTGTCTTTCGCTCTCTTCTACACTACTGTTTTCTCTTTCTTTTCTTTTTATTGTCTTTTATGCAAACACACTTTTCGTGTTAGCGCGTTTCTTCTCCCTTCTGTTTTTCCTTCTGCCGCTCACGTGTCACCCCCGCACTCTTCAGAGAACTTTGCGGCCGACATCGTCCCGCGCGTCGCGACACTCCGAAGGCACACACGTCTTTCTCTCATCAAAAAAAAAAGCATAACCAAAAATTATATAACACTTCGGATTCTCTTCCCTTTTAGTTTATTTCCAGCCTCCGCCCTTCTCTTGCTTCTTTCGTTTTTCAGCTGGACTAACCCTCTATTTACTTATTGATTCCCGTGCTCCTGATAAGGTAACTGTTAACTCTGCCAATCCCAAATACGAAGCAAGCAAAAAGCCTTCTCCCTTTTCATACGCTTCGAACTCACGTGGACGTCAGGGCCAACGAAACGAAGACCGCTCTGCCTCTGTCGACTTAACTCACTTACCTTCCGAGCGACCGAAAGGCAAAATGCTGTACTTCACCGCCGCGGTGTTGTGTGCCATTGGCACACTCCTGCTGCTGAACCGCGCCATGGCACGCGTTCGCACGAGCCCAGCCCGTACGCAGTACGACTACGATGTGATCGTTGTGGGTGGCAGCATCTCTGGCCCGGTGCTGTCGAAGGCGCTGTCGGACCAGGGCCGCAAGGTGCTCATGATTGACCGCACCCTCTTCACGATGCCCGACCGCATCGTTGGCGAGCTTCTCCAGCCCGGCGGCCTCGACGCGCTGCGCGAGGTCGGCATGCAGGAGTGTGCCGAGTCGGTGGGCATGCCGTGCCACGGCTACCTCGTGGTGGACCAGAAGGGCGAGCAGGTGGACCTGCCGTACCGCAAGGGAGCCCACGGCGTGTCCTTCCACTTCGGCCTGTTTGTGCAGAAGCTGCGCGCCTTCGTCTTCCACAACTGCAAGAACGTGACGATGGTGGAGGGCACCGTGAACACCGTCCTGACGGAGGGGCTCTCCTTCAGCGAGCGTGCCTACGGCGTGGAGTACACGGTGCTGGAGAAGTACGAGGTGCCGCCGAACCCGTTCTGCGAGGACCCCGCGAAGACGGACCCGGCGGCGCCCACTGTTCGCAAGATCGCCACGGCCCCGCTGATCGTGATGTGCGACGGTGGAATGTCCAAGTGGAAGAGCCGCTATCAGCACTACACCCCGGCCTCCGACTACCACTCCAACTTCATCGGTCTCGTGCTGAAGCAGGTGCGCCTGCCGAAGGAGGAGCGCGGCACCGTTTTCTTTGGCAAGACGGGCCCGATCCTGTCCTACCGCCTCGACGACAACGAGCTGCGCATGCTGGTCGACTATAACAAGCCGTCGCTGCCCAGTCTGGAGAAGCAGAGCGAGTGGCTCGTGCAGGAGGTGGCCCCGTGCCTGCCGAAGCACATGCAGGAGGAGTTCATCCGCGTCTCGCAGGACAAGAAGGGGCTGCACAGCATGCCGGTGGCCCGCTACCCGCCGGGCTTCCCCTGCATCCGCAGCTACGTCGGCATCGGCGACCACGCCAACCAGCGCCACCCCCTCACGGGTGGCGGCATGACCTGCTGCTTCCGCGACGCGATCCGTCTGGCGAACAACCTCAAGGGCATCCAGAACCTGCGCTGCGACGACGCGGACCAGATGGTGGTGATTGAGGACAAGGTGCAGTCCGCCATCTTGAGCTACTGCCGCTTCCGCTACATGCACAGCTGCTGCATCAACCTGCTCTCCTGGGCCCTCTACGCCGTCTTCAGCACGCCGGCGCTGCGGGACGCCTGCTTCGACTACTTTGTGTGCGGCGACGACTGTGTGAAGGGCCCGATGGACCTGCTGGCGGGTCTCGACCCCAACGTCGGCACCCTGGTCTTCCACTACTACTGCGTGATGCTCTACGGCGTGGCCAACGTGATGACGAAGACGGGCGCCTACAGCCAGGGCGGCAAGCAGCTCACCGGCTCGGAGAAGCTGTCGAACGTCGTGTCGTTCTTCGCGGACTGGGAGCGCATCAAGCTGGCGTGCTACCTGCTGCTCAAGTCGACGATGATTGCGCTGCCGCTGGCCAAGAATGAGTTCTTCTCGATGTGGCGCTTCGTGGACCCCACGAGCCCCATCGCGATCATCTCCAAGCGCATCAAGATGATGATCTACCTCAGCCAGTTCAACGGTAAGCAGCGCAAGCCGGTCGGTCTGTAAGGGCGGCAAAGCAGCCAGCGAACGGGATGAGCTCACCGAGCCGTCTCCCCTGACGCTTGACTCGGTAAGCGCCTCAAAAGAAGGAAAAAAAAAGGAGCTTCCCATTTGGTGCCCGAAGTCCTCCGCAGAGGCGAATGCGACTTGGAGGAACCAAGAACGGATAACACTTGCGCGGCTTCTGCTCCGTCGCTCGCTGCACTCCCTTTTGCACTTTCCGGTACGCCGTGGCTGCCCTCCGCCCCCGCATCGGCGGCCGCTGTCCCCCTCACCCACCACTCCACCGCCGCCTTCGCCGCTCGTGCGTGTTCTCCCCCTCGATGTTTCTTTTTCTGTTTTCTCTTATTTGAGTCCGCAGCAGCGTCGACAGAGCCGCCGCAAAAGGAGCCTTTCTCCCCCTCCGGCTGTGTTGCGCGCGTTGGTGTTTGGAAACTGTCCGATGCGCCACATGTATGCAAGTCCTGCTTCGTTTGCCGAAACGTACGTTGGAGGCCGAGTTGTTCAGCTGGGCTTTTGGTGTACGTCCCCGCCCCTTCCTCGCGAGGCAACGCGCTGCTTCCATTTCTGCGCCTCTTTTTTCTCCTCCGCTGCTGGGCAGCACGCGAAAGGCACGGCGTGGACGGCGGCCACAAACGCACATATCCGCGCACGTCTGTTGTACCGCAGTTCGCTTGTCTCTCTTGTTTTTCTCTTTTTCCTTTTAACGTGAGAGCTTGTTTGACTCCTCTCCTTTCCGTCGACGTTGAGAGTGGGAATGCCTTCTTCCGCTTTCGAGTCCTTTTGGGTTTTGTATTCTTCCATTGTCTCCCTTACAGCTTATAGAACCCTAATGGGGGGAGTGGGGGGTGAAGGAGAGAGAGGACAGGCGTTGTACGTTGGTGGAGTTGCGGTGATGACGAGAGAGGGGCGACACGACGCACTGAGCGACTGGCAGCCCCACCAAAATGTACTCCTCCTGATTGTTGCTTTTTTACTTTTACTAATTTTTTATGTTGAGAAGAAAGAATCCGTTATGCCCTGAAAGTGGGTGTACGCTGGCAAGTTTTTCTTCTTCCCCTCTGTTATTATCGCTGTTCCTACTGCCGTCAAGGGGCTTGTGTGGGCGCGGTGTGCGTGCTGATGAACGCGTGGGGGTTTTCCGTTATTTAGCCAACCGTGCCTTCTCTTCTGCGGAGGTCCGGTTGGGGAGATAACACCACTCGTTCTTCTCTTCTCCCACTCGCCCCTCCGCAACGACAGCGTGGATACGCGAATAAGGCAGGGGAAGCAAAAAAAAAAAGGCACAGAAGAAAATGCTGTTGCTTGAATGTTTGCAGCCTCGGTTCAGCGCGGCGAGTCACACCCGAAGGGCATAAACGGCTCTTACGCACGCTTTTCTCCTCAGGGCTGCGCTGGGGAATGACAGATGTGTTCATTCTTTCTCTGTAGCCCACTCAAGGAGTGCGCAATATCCGTTTTGCTGCCATTTGCTAACGACGTCTCTCTACGGATTCACACCCCGATATCGCCTGCATCGCACCCGTGCTCTCATGGCGTTCACTTGTCACCTGCAACCTTTCCCTTTACCTTTTCGCCCTCTCCTTCTTCAACCTGAACCCGTCCATGACGATTCCCCTTTCAATGTCCCGCCGACTGACACCCACCTGCTGTTACAATGGAAGATTCATTAGTTCGCCTCATCAGTTAAAATCAATACCCTTGTCTTTCGCTCTCTTCTACACTACTGTTTTCTCTTTCTTTTCTTTTTATTGTCTTTTATGCAAACACACTTTTCGTGTTAGCGCGTTTCTTCTCCCTTCTGTTTTTCCTTCTGCCGCTCACGTGTCACCCCCGCACTCTTCAGAGAACTTTGCGGCCGACATCGTCCCGCGCGTCGCGACACTCCGAAGGCACACACGTCTTTCTCTCATCAAAAAAAAAAGCATAACCAAAAATTATATAACACTTCGGATTCTCTTCCCTTTTAGTTTATTTCCAGCCTCCGCCCTTCTCTTGCTTCTTTCGTTTTTCAGCTGGACTAACCCTCTATTTACTTATTGATTCCCGTGCTCCTGATAAGGTAACTGTTAACTCTGCCAATCCCAAATACGAAGCAAGCAAAAAGCCTTCTCCCTTTTCATACGCTTCGAACTCACGTGGACGTCAGGGCCAACGAAACGAAGACCGCTCTGCCTCTGTCGACTTAACTCACTTACCTTCCGAGCGACCGAAAGGCAAAATGCTGTACTTCACCGCCGCGGTGTTGTGTGCCATTGGCACACTCCTGCTGCTGAACCGCGCCATGGCACGCGTTCGCACGAGCCCAGCCCGTACGCAGTACGACTACGATGTGATCGTTGTGGGTGGCAGCATCTCTGGCCCGGTGCTGTCGAAGGCGCTGTCGGACCAGGGCCGCAAGGTGCTCATGATTGACCGCACCCTCTTCACGATGCCCGACCGCATCGTTGGCGAGCTTCTCCAGCCCGGCGGCCTCGACGCGCTGCGCGAGGTCGGCATGCAGGAGTGTGCCGAGTCGGTGGGCATGCCGTGCCACGGCTACCTCGTGGTGGACCAGAAGGGCGAGCAGGTGGACCTGCCGTACCGCAAGGGAGCCCACGGCGTGTCCTTCCACTTCGGCCTGTTTGTGCAGAAGCTGCGCGCCTTCGTCTTCCACAACTGCAAGAACGTGACGATGGTGGAGGGCACCGTGAACACCGTCCTGACGGAGGGGCTCTCCTTCAGCGAGCGTGCCTACGGCGTGGAGTACACGGTGCTGGAGAAGTACGAGGTGCCGCCGAACCCGTTCTGCGAGGACCCCGCGAAGACGGACCCGGCGGCGCCCACTGTTCGCAAGATCGCCACGGCCCCGCTGATCGTGATGTGCGACGGTGGAATGTCCAAGTGGAAGAGCCGCTATCAGCACTACACCCCGGCCTCCGACTACCACTCCAACTTCATCGGTCTCGTGCTGAAGCAGGTGCGCCTGCCGAAGGAGGAGCGCGGCACCGTTTTCTTTGGCAAGACGGGCCCGATCCTGTCCTACCGCCTCGACGACAACGAGCTGCGCATGCTGGTCGACTATAACAAGCCGTCGCTGCCCAGTCTGGAGAAGCAGAGCGAGTGGCTCGTGCAGGAGGTGGCCCCGTGCCTGCCGAAGCACATGCAGGAGGAGTTCATCCGCGTCTCGCAGGACAAGAAGGGGCTGCACAGCATGCCGGTGGCCCGCTACCCGCCGGGCTTCCCCTGCATCCGCAGCTACGTCGGCATCGGCGACCACGCCAACCAGCGCCACCCCCTCACGGGTGGCGGCATGACCTGCTGCTTCCGCGACGCGATCCGTCTGGCGAACAACCTCAAGGGCATCCAGAACCTGCGCTGCGACGACGCGGACCAGATGGTGGTGATTGAGGACAAGGTGCAGTCCGCCATCTTGAGCTACTGCCGCTTCCGCTACATGCACAGCTGCTGCATCAACCTGCTCTCCTGGGCCCTCTACGCCGTCTTCAGCACGCCGGCGCTGCGGGACGCCTGCTTCGACTACTTTGTGTGCGGCGACGACTGTGTGAAGGGCCCGATGGACCTGCTGGCGGGTCTCGACCCCAACGTCGGCACCCTGGTCTTCCACTACTACTGCGTGATGCTCTACGGCGTGGCCAACGTGATGACGAAGACGGGCGCCTACAGCCAGGGCGGCAAGCAGCTCACCGGCTCGGAGAAGCTGTCGAACGTCGTGTCGTTCTTCGCGGACTGGGAGCGCATCAAGCTGGCGTGCTACCTGCTGCTCAAGTCGACGATGATTGCGCTGCCGCTGGCCAAGAATGAGTTCTTCTCGATGTGGCGCTTCGTGGACCCCACGAGCCCCATCGCGATCATCTCCAAGCGCATCAAGATGATGATCTACCTCAGCCAGTTCAACGGTAAGCAGCGCAAGCCGGTCGGTCTGTAAGGGCGGCAAAGCAGCCAGCGAACGGGATGAGCTCACCGAGCCGTCTCCCCTGACGCTTGACTCGGTAAGCGCCTCAAAAGAAGGAAAAAAAAAGGAGCTTCCCATTTGGTGCCCGAAGTCCTCCGCAGAGGCGAATGCGACTTGGAGGAACCAAGAACGGATAACACTTGCGCGGCTTCTGCTCCGTCGCTCGCTGCACTCCCTTTTGCACTTTCCGGTACGCCGTGGCTGCCCTCCGCCCCCGCATCGGCGGCCGCTGTCCCCCTCACCCACCACTCCACCGCCGCCTTCGCCGCTCGTGCGTGTTCTCCCCCTCGATGTTTCTTTTTCTGTTTTCTCTTATTTGAGTCCGCAGCAGCGTCGACAGAGCCGCCGCAAAAGGAGCCTTTCTCCCCCTCCGGCTGTGTTGCGCGCGTTGGTGTTTGGAAACTGTCCGATGCGCCACATGTATGCAAGTCCTGCTTCGTTTGCCGAAACGTACGTTGGAGGCCGAGTTGTTCAGCTGGGCTTTTGGTGTACGTCCCCGCCCCTTCCTCGCGAGGCAACGCGCTGCTTCCATTTCTGCGCCTCTTTTTTCTCCTCCGCTGCTGGGCAGCACGCGAAAGGCACGGCGTGGACGGCGGCCACAAACGCACATATCCGCGCACGTCTGTTGTACCGCAGTTCGCTTGTCTCTCTTGTTTTTCTCTTTTTCCTTTTAACGTGAGAGCTTGTTTGACTCCTCTCCTTTCCGTCGACGTTGAGAGTGGGAATGCCTTCTTCCGCTTTCGAGTCCTTTTGGGTTTTGTATTCTTCCATTGTCTCCCTTACAGCTTATAGAACCCTAATGGGGGGAGTGGGGGGTGAAGGAGAGAGAGGACAGGCGTTGTACGTTGGTGGAGTTGCGGTGATGACGAGAGAGGGGCGACACGACGCACTGAGCGACTGGCAGCCCCACCAAAATGTACTCCTCCTGATTGTTGCTTTTTTACTTTTACTAATTTTTTATGTTGAGAAGAAAGAATCCGTTATGCCCTGAAAGTGGGTGTACGCTGGCAAGTTTTTCTTCTTCCCCTCTGTTATTATCGCTGTTCCTACTGCCGTCAAGGGGCTTGTGTGGGCGCGGTGTGCGTGCTGATGAACGCGTGGGGGTTTTCCGTTATTTAGCCAACCGTGCCTTCTCTTCTGCGGAGGTCCGGTTGGGGAGATAACACCACTCGTTCTTCTCTTCTCCCACTCGCCCCTCCGCAACGACAGCGTGGATACGCGAATAAGGCAGGGGAAGCAAAAGAAGAAAAACACGATCAAAATGGTAGTAGTAGACGAGACGTGGAAAAGGGCGAATGAATGAATAAGTGCAAATCGAAACCAACAAGCGTGGGGCGTGCAGCGTGTAGATTGTTTTAGGGGTTGGCAACGGACGCGACGTACACACGCACGCACGCGCAGACCAAGAATGGTCTGGTTTACGGATGCTGAAAAGGGTGGAAAAAAGTCGTAGGCATCAACGAGGTGTGTGCGTGTGTGAGCCCGCTGATATCACACGTGTTTTGCTCTTCCTGCACTACCGCTTCTGGACAAACGTGCTGTCGAGGTAGGTGGATCTGCTTGACCGCTGCTGTGTTCTCCATTGTTTAGGAGAAGCAGAGGTAGCGATCTATGGAGGTGAAGAACAGGTCCTGCCTCAAAAGTGGAGGCTCTACGAGTAGAGACGTACGCAACGACAGCCGTGGCCACACGAGAATAAGAAGCACACGTTGTGTATGAGTACTTGCGTTTGTAAGTTTCGAAGAAACGAAAAAAGAGTTTTGAAAAGCATTCGAATGAAATTCAATCATCATCATCCTTCACCTTCTAAAAAGATTGAAAATAAAAATGGGGAGTCGTCTTTCACACGGTATCAGTGGATGTTTGTCCGCTGGATGAGAATGTGTTGATTCGGTCTGTACATATACGTGAAGTTGATGGATTCAAAAAAATGCGGATTGCACCTGGGAAAAATAACATTTATTGACTTATTTAAATCTTTTTCTTTTTTTATGTTTTTCTTAAATGAGGAAAGACCTCTTCTGTTTTCTCTCTTAACTACGGCAAATATACAATCTTTCCTCCACGCAACTGCGTGCGCGTGTTGTGCTCCGTGGCGTTGGCCAAAAATGGGAAAGATCAACAGCAACGAAAAAACTTGCTTCTTGTGCATGCGCCGTTAGCAGGCATCAGCTTCTCTCGTTAGGCGTCTGTGTACGTGTGTGTGTGTGTGGTGGGGGGGGGGGATAGCGACGCCTGTCTGCCCTTCTTTACCTGTGCAAACGTTTGGTGGCATTCCAACGCGGGCCATCCGCAGGAAACGTTCTCCTTTACCCGATCGGCTTACGCCTCTGTGGGTGCAGTGACTGTACAGGTGCTTTGTCTTTCCTCTCGATCCTATTGCGCGGGACCGTGAGAGACTTGTTCCTCCTTCGCAGCTCCCGGCTGCCCTTTTCTTAAAGCTCTTATCATCATCTGTAGACTCTTTCTTCTTCTGTTCGTTTCAGCTCCGTGCGCAGTGTTGTTGGACACCGTCAGTAGAAAGGATACACTTCTCTTCTTCACGTCCACGTGTCTTGCACTCGGCAACTTCGCCCCGTGCTCCGTCTATAGTTTTCTTTTGCTTGTTAAATATATTTATTGTTGTGTTCTTGAGACAAGAAGCGGACAACAACGCCCGTCCGTGCCTTTAGATAGTTCAAAGGGGTTTTACGTAAAAAGAAGGTAGCGCATTTCATTTTGTTTCTGCTTTCCTTCGCTGCTCAGACGCGCGCACTCCACAGCCGTTCCTTCCACCGCCGGACGTCCAACCGCACTTTGCGTGTTCATCTGCTGTTTTTCTCTCTGCTTGGGTCTTCGCGATCGAACTCACGAAAACAGCGAAACGCATTTGAAGGGCACCATGGAGCCTCAGCTGAAGCAGATGCTCGTGCAAGGGGGGCTGGACCACGCCATCCAGGGCTTTGTAGAAGGCGGCGTCACCACGGTGCAGCAGCTGAAGCAGCTCACCATGCAGGACTACCACTCCGTCGGCGTCATCGTGATGACAGACCGCCGAAAGCTGTTTGAGCTCATCCAGTTTCTGAAGCGCGGTCAGGCTAACGGTGGGTCTGCCGTGGGCGTCCCTGCCGTGTCCGCCAAGTCGCCCCCACCGGTCAGCAGCGAGCCGGCCGCACGTGCGCAGCCTCCTTCCCACGCACCGGCGGTTCCGGCACGCATCCCAACTCCGGTGCGACGAGCCGCGGCGGCCCAAGAGGCCCCACCGCCGCCGCAGCAGCAACAACAAACTCCGCCGCAGCAGCTCTTCCAGCGTCGAGAGCGGGAGAAGGCGGCGGAGCAGCCCCGACCCGCCTCCACCCAGCGCCGCGATCCTAACAGCAACGACGGTGACGCGGCCCGCCGGCCGGCGGTCAGCACGAAGCCCGTCTCGCGCCCACCGAGCCGCGTTGGGGCCTCCTCGCCGTCCCCTTTCGCACGGCGGCAGGCGACGGAGGGCAGCGGCAGCAGCAACGGTGCAGCTGGTCGTCGCCGTGGCAGCCGCATCACCGTCGTGATACGCAAGCGCCCGTTAAACGCCAACGAGCAGGCGGATGGCCTCTACGACATCCTCGCGACGGACCCCGAGAACAACCACACCATCACCCTGCTGGAGCCGCGTCAGAAGGTGGACCTGACGCGCTACATCGAGAAGCACCGCTTCACCTACGATGTCGTGATGGACGACCGCAAGAGCAACCGCGACGTCTACGAGGAGGCCTGCAGGCCGCTGATTGAGACGGTGTTTGAGGGCGGATGTGCGACCTGCTTTGCCTACGGCCAAACCGGCAGCGGCAAGACCTACACGATGCTGGGCAAGGATCACCAGGAGGGGGTGTATCTGATGGCGGCCAAGGACCTCTGGTCGCGGCTGAACCCCGGACACGGCATCAACGTTTCCTTCTTTGAGATTTACGGCGGCAAACTGTACGACCTGCTCAATGAGCGGGAGCGTCTGGCCTGCCGCGAGGATAGCCGCGGCGTGATCAACGTGTGCGGCCTCACCGAGCACCGCGTCGACAGCACCCAACACCTAATGGAGATTATCGACTATGGTAACACGATTCGCGCGGCCGGCTCGACCGGCATGAACGCAGATTCCTCCCGCTCGCACGCGATTCTGCACATCACCATCGTCAACGAGAAGAACCGCTTCTTTGGGCGCTTCACCTTCATAGACCTGGCCGGCAGCGAGCGAGGCGCGGACACGCTGGATAGCGACCGCAGCACCCGGTTGGAGGGTGCGGAGATCAACAAGTCGCTCTTTGCGCTGAAGGAGTGCATCCGCGCGTTAGACCAAAACCACCGCCACATCCCGTTTCGTGGGTCGAAGCTGACGGCGGTGCTGCGCGACTGTTTTACTGGGAACAGCCGGACGGTGATGATCGGCAACATCAGCCCAGCGAGTGGGAGCTGCGAGCACACGCTGAACACGCTGCGCTACGCCGACCGCGTGAAGGAGCTGAAGAAGGACAAGTCAGCGCACAGCGCGGCGGAGGAAATCATGATGGGTCAGATGCCAACGGAACACATCGAGACGATCGGCATCTCTGGCAGTTTTGCGCAGCGTCGCGCCAAGGAACGGGTCGCAACCAGCTCGCGCTCGTCCAGCCAAACCCGCACCCGCGAGCCGGGCACACCGAGCAGCAAGCTCGGTAATAGCTTCCAGAAGCCGAACGACGACAGCTACGACAACACGTTACGCTCCAACCGCAGCTTTGGCTCTCGCCCGGTCTCCTCGAACTCACCGCAGCAGAAGCCGTACTACCGCGCCACCCCGACGCACAGCCGTGTGAACAGCGGCTACTCCTCTGCGGTTCCAACCCCGATGGCGGACGCCTCGCCGTACGACAGCGGAGACAGCCTCGACATCGAGGAGGACAACTTGATTCTCGCGCACCGCCACCACATCGACTCGATGATGGAGCTGCTGAAGGACGAAATGACGCAGCTCAACGCCGCGGAGAACCCGGACAATTCGATGACGACGTACTGCCGCTCCGTAGATCGCATTCTCTCCTCGCAGGTGCGTCGCATCGAGGAGCTGCGTCAACGGATCGAGAAGTACAGCCGCCACGCGGACACACGTGGTCGTCGGTAGGCGGGGCATGCCTTTCTTTTCCCTTTCAACTCCTTTGTTTTATTTTCCACTTTGCGCACGACGCGCAGGCGGAAGCCAGAGAGGAGCAAAGTAGCAAAACCGCATTTAGATTTGTTTTCTTTTTTTTTCCCTTTCCCTTTTTTTCTTCTGGCGCGTTGAACAGGTTGCTTGTGATACTGTTTGTTTGTGGTGACGCTGTTTGTGCTTGCATGGGTGTGCGCGTGTGCGTGCTTGGAGCGGCGTGGTGGCTGCGGATTCACACCATCCCCTTCTTTCTCTTCCTCGTGGCCTCAACGTGGGTTAGTGTTGGTGCGCCTTGATGGGAGGCGCCTTGGCGTTTGGCACGGTTGTTTCCTCCTTTTCCTCCTAGATTACATCGATCAGAAAGCGAGCCGGGCGTATCTGGTCTTTTTCCCCTTTTCCACCTTTTTCCAGTAGAGAAGACAGTTTAACATCTTGTTTATTCATATATCTATCTATCTATTTATCTTTCTATCTTTCGACACGACTCCTTCTTTGTGTTTCTGATTTGCTTTCGTTTCTCCTTTGCACATGCTTCGTTGCGCTACGCAAAGCGGTTTGGCAACTCTTCGGCTTCTCTGTTGGTCGGGGCGGTGGGCGTTGTCTGAGCCGCCCCTTTTTCCATCGCTTTGTTTTTTGGTTTTGGTTTGCTTTTCTGATACACGACTCCGTCAGACGTATGCGCGTATGTTTCTGTGCGAAGGTGTGCCGGCGCACAGTGAAAAGGCCTTATGAGTCCCGCTTTGTTTTCCTTTGTCTTTCTGTGTTGTTTTTTGCTGTAGGAGAGAAGAAAGTGGCTGCTGCTCGGGAGGCGTTCTCTTGAATACAATTCTTTTTCCTTTTCTTTTTTTTTTTGCGGTCGGTGTGGGGAAGAGTGTCCTTCCAGTTCGCCTTCCAGGCTGGCCACGCGTACGATCGGCGGTGTGTGTTGTCTTTTTGCCACCTTGTACTTTCCACGTTACCTTCATTGTTGTTCTCTCCTCTGTTTTCATCGTGCTCGATCAAACGCAGCGTTTATCTCACAACTTACGAAGGATTTTTTTTAAATTTCTTAAACGAAGAAGTATTGGCGTGATGCAGCGGCAAGTTAGCGTCTTCGGCTCACCCTTCGCCTCATTGCAGAGGCTCTCGGAACGTGCGGCACCTTCCGCGTCGGGCGCACTCGTGCACGCACTCGGGCGATGCCAACTCTGCCTTGTCAACAAATCAAAGAGGATTTCAACAATCATTGCTACCGCTGTCTGAACGGTTTCGTAGGCGCCATAGCAACTACGTGCCGCACAATTGCAGCAGCTCCGGTGAAATAACTTTCCTGCTTTGCCGTCTCGATCCATTTCTGGTTTACTCCTGGCGTCGTCTCTTTCTTGGATGTTCTTCTTCTCCATTGGACTTGTCGCTGCACCCTTTACTGTGATCGTGCCGATGTGCCAGTTGCTCGTGCGGCGTACACGTTCTTTCATTGTCTGTCGTCGCTGACCCTTCAACGCGCCCCCACGCGCACATACGCAGATTTAAAAAAGTAGAGCTACGTTGACCACGTGACTTGGTGACTTAGAGAGGAAATATATTTGTACTTGTATGAACGAGCGATACGGTGCTGAGAGCAGCTGTCGTTACCGCAGTTGTTACTTCGCGCTTTTGCGCTCTGCCGCTGTCGCCGCCGGGTGCATTCCCTGACACTTTTCCTTTCGGTATCGAACTTGTATTTGTGGGTGCCGGGCGAAACACGGAAGAGGAGCCGAACGAATCAGCAAAGCAGCGAGCGTTTTACACCCCGTTGTAGCACACACACCCGCGCACCATCACATCGGCGCACGCATAGAAGCGTGCATCTTCTCCCACAGGCAGCGCAGCAAATCCATCGAACAGCGAAAAAAGAAACACTCATTTGCTTCTCGTCTCGCTTCGACTGCGTTGCCGCTGCACCGAGCTCACTCGCGAAAAACCATAGAAAACGGCAAAAAGAAGAAGGATTACAGAGCACACAACTCAAGACATTGTATCATGCGGCGAGTGCACGTGCCCGTCGCACGCCGCCTCGCTGCGGGGGCCCACGCCGCAAGGGTACGCACACAAAGCTCCGCGGCAGCGTCGTCGTCGTCCAGCTCGCCTGCGGATGTCCCCACCATTCGCATTCGCTCACGCGGCTACGCGCCGTCGCGGGACCTGCTCTGCGGCATCCCCGCTCATGCGGCGCTGAACGTGGAGGCGACGCTGCACCCCGAAGACGCCGAAATCCAGCGCGCGGTCTTGGCGCTGTCGATGCCAAGTCTTGCGGAGGTGCACGTGACGCCGGTGGTGCCGCACGACAGCTACGCCAACGACAAGGTTCCCCAGCGTTCCGGCGCGTCGTACGGCGGCGGTGACGTGCTGACCCCGACGGAGCGGGAGGTGATGGAGCAGTGCCTGCAGGAGCAGCTGGCCGATGTGGCGAACCTCGTGGTGGAGCAGGTGGGCCAGCGCACTGGCCGGCAGATCGATGCCCTGCAGGTGACGCACACAGACGAGCTGCGCAACTTCGCGGAGATTGTTCTCCACAGCATACAGGACGAGCTCCGTCAGCTGCGCTTGACACGCAGCGCGGCGCCGGGGAAAAGGGGGGCGGTGGAGGGCGACACGGACGCGGCCCACGCCGCCCCCCCGGCAAGCGCGGCCGCCGCGCCGCTGGATGTGGAGGCCGTTGCCCAGGTGGTCAGCGCGAAGGTGATGGAGCGACTGGCGAGTCTGACCGCACCCGTCGCCGCTGCGTCGACTACAACACCGACCGATGCGGCCGCGGCGGCAACGGCGGTGGCGGACTTAGAGCGGCGAACCACCGCGTATTTTGAGCAGCTGCAGGCACGAATGCAGCAGGCGATGAACAGCGGGGCGGCAGCACACGCGGCGGCGCCGGAGGCAATGGAACTGCGCGCCGCCGTGATGGAGGCGGTGGAGAAGGCCTCCGCCACGCAGCAAGAGCACCTGGCAGGTTTAGTGAACGACTGGTTAGCGGACATGGAACGTTCGCCGGTGGGCGGCGGCGGCAGTAGCAATGCCGCCGCGCCGGTCGATATGAAGGCACTGGAAGACATGGTGGAGAGCGCGGTTCAGACCTCGACAGACGAACTTCGCCGCCTCTTCACAAGCGAGATGAAGAAGTTGGGAAAGTCGAAGAAGACAAGCGGCAGCGGCAGCGGCAGCAGCGACGAGGACGTGGACTCGAGCGCACTGGTGGTGGAGGTAGAGAAGGTGTTCGACATGGTGCAGGCCACGCAGAGTCGCCTGGTCGCCGTCGACGAGGTGGTGGCCGACGTGTTCAAGGAGCAGGCCTCCACCCGCGAGGCGCTGCAGACAATTCAGGAGCTTCTCCAGAAGCAGCTGAGTGACGTTCGCGCGATCCCTCCGGCAGAGACGGCGGCGACCTCCGCCGCTGAAAACGAGACCAGCAGCAGCCACCACGACGCTGGCGCGAAGGACCCCGACGCCGGCACGTCCACGACCGTGAAGGCGGTGGAGGAGGCCGTGGCGAGTCTGCAGCGGGAGGTGGCAGCGGCGCACGCCCTCGCGTCCGTCCATCAAGCGGAGACGCAGCAGCAGCTGCTGACGGTGGCGCAGGTCGTGAGCGACAGCGTCGCGGCGGCGGTGCAGCAGCACACCGCAGAGGCCGTGCAGTCTGCCATGGCCACCGTGCAGCAGCAACTCGGCTTCCTGTCGGCTGCCGCCCAAGCCAGCGCGGAGGCCGCTGCCGAGGCACGTAACGCTGCTCTCGCCAAGGCCACATCGGCAGAGGAGAGCAAGGATTCGACGACAGAGCCTGCAGAGGCGGTACCGGCGCGAGCGTTGGAGCCCTTCTCGAAGGAGGTGCTGGCCGACGCTGTCGAGTCCGTTCTCACGCCGCGCTGGTCGACGCTCTCCGCAGAGGTGGAGCGGATGAACGCGGCGAACCAGCAGGCCATTGAGCAGCAACTCCTGCACATGGCGAACAGCGTGGCGGCGTCGGTCACGGCGAGTCTGCAGGAGCAGCTAGAGGCGGCCCGCACACACAGCGACGGCGCAATTGCGGCGGCGGCGGCGGCGTCAGCGGAGAAGACGGAAGCAGCCGCCAAGGATCAGGCCGAGATGCAGAAGAGGGGGGAAGCGGCAGAGGCGGCGGTGGTGTCGGCGGCCACCGCACTGACCGAGAAAACCACGCAGGAACTGGCGACCCTGCGCGCGGAGCTGCTCTCGACGCTGCAGACGGAGATGCGCAAATCGCATGAGGTGGATCTCACGCCCATGTACAAGTATATCGATAGCGTGCTGACCTTTATGAAGGAGGAGTTGAACCTGCAGGAGACGAATCTGACGTCAAAGATGGCGTCGCTGGCGGACACGGTGACGGCGGCGGTGCGGGACTCTCAGGAGCGTCCGCTGCCACCGGCTGTGGCAGTGGCGTCTGCGGAGCCCAACCAAAGCGATGACGCGACGCACGCAGCCGCCGCATCCCCTGCAGAGTCGGCCCAGGTCCCGGCAGCGACGGCAACTTCGTCTGGTGAGGCAGCGCCGCCGTCCCCTGTCACCTTCGAGGTCCCCGCCTCGCTGACGAACACCCTCGATCTCCAAACCGGTGCGCTGCGCCACTTAGAAGAGCGTCTGAACGAACTCAGCCTCAGCCAGAGTCGAGACATGTCGACGCTGCTGACGCGCCTGCAGGAGGCCACGGCGGACTTCCGGGCTGCCACGTCGACGCCGCCCTCCGCAGCACCGCTGCATGCCGACCAGCTCGCCTGGCAGAGCGACATGAAAACGCAGCTGACTTCTTTAGAGGCGTCGCTGGAGAGGCGGGACGCCGATCTGCTCGCCGCCGTGCGGGCGTCTGCCATCAACGAGGACGTTAAGGCGCAGCTGACCCAGCTCGAGAGCACGTTAAAGTCGTCATCCGCTGCCCAGAGGGCGGAGGTGCAGGTGGCCTTGCGTGACATCGTCTCCAGCAGCGCACAGGAGCAGACGAGCCGCGTCGACGCATTAGTGCAGCGCGTGGCGGAGATGCAAGGGGCACTGCGCGATCAGGCCGTTGCGGTGCAGCTGCTGCAGCCCTCGCCCGCCTTGCGTGGGTTGACCGCGGAGCAGCGGCAAGTGCAGGCACGCATTCGCACGGCGACACAGGAGCACCTGCGCCACCTCACCCAAATAATGGAGGAGATGACGAACTCGGAACACAATGCTGACGCCTCCGATGCGTCAGCGGCGAAGGTGCGCGCCGTTCTGCTGGACCTGCGTGCGCTGCAGGAAGAAGAGACCGCGCTGCACCATAGCGCTGCCTCTTCTTCCGCGGCGTCTGCTGCCGACCCCGCCACCTCCGTTGAGTCGATTGTACACGCCGAAGTGAGTAAAGCGCAGACGGCGATGCAGGACAGCATACAGGGTCTCACCGCGCAGCACGACGAGGCACAGAAAGAACTGGCCGCGACGTTAAACACACTCCTGACAAGCGTGCACGACGTGGGCGGCAGCACGAGCAGCATCCCGAGCATCGCGGACATTCAGCAGCTGCTCGACGCCACTCTCATGCGTTTGGCGGAGGAGCAGAAGGACGCCGGCCTGCACGTCACGCAGCTCGTCGCCGAGGCCACCCGTACCTCCGCTGATGCGCTGAAGTCGGTGGTGCAGTCCACGCTGTCCGACAGCGTCGTGGCGACGGTGGAGCAGCGTATTATCCCTGCCTACCACGACAAGGTGGAGGCGTCCTTGCAGACACGTCTGTCGGAACAGGCAGCTGCGGTGACGGCGGCGGTAGCAGGCGTGGCGGAGCGCACCACGGCCGCCGTTGGCAAGGTGGAGTCGCTCGTGCGTGACTTCAACGCGCAGCGCGCAGACGAGGCGCAGAAGATGCTGGCGGAGCACTACAGCGGCCAAGAACGGCTGGAGAAGACGCCGGTGAAGACCCGCATGCCGCTGTGGTGGATGCTGGCGAACGCGCTGCTGATGTGCATCGTGGTGCTGCTCAGTTGGTACTACGTCGTTGCGTGCCTGCTCTTGGCCTTCGTCCCGAAGCCGTCCGCGGAGGCGCCAGCCGGAAGCGGAGAGGCAGAGAGTGTAGCGGAGGTGGTCCCCGATGCGAAGCTGCGCCGCAGCGGCCGGTTCGTGGACGAGTTCATGTAACACAACTCCTATGTACAAGGAGCGCGATGCCTTTGTGTGGGTGTATGGGTGGGCCGGCCAAGTGAAGGCGCGTTTGACGCCTCTTCTCCAGGCTCGCTTGCGCTGCTGTTTGGAAAGTACAAGCATGCGTATTATCCTCCCCTTCTTTTTTTTCTCTTTCTCGGTGGGCGGCGACACACGAGACGCAACGCAGCACACAGACGGGAAGCCGTTGGAAGAAAGTGGTGGGAGAGAAACAGCGCTTCGTCGCCTCTCGTCTCTGCCCTCGAGCGGCGTCTGCACGCGTGGCTTTTGTCTTCTCTTTTTTCCATTACTCCACCATAGACTGTAGTACCACCTTTGTGATTTTCTTTTTGCTTTATTATTCGCGTTTCTTAGTCGGGCACGCACCGTTGTGGACCCCCCTCGGACTGTACGGCTCTTCCACGGCGGTTTGCACTGACGGTCTTTTCTTAAAGCCTGTTTGTTGAGGGCTTTACGTTGCATGTAGGCATAGAAGCTGCGTCTGCGCCACGGAGCTCAATCGGGCATCGGTCTCGTCACGAGACTGTCCGGCTGAAGGTGTTCTCTTTTGATTTTGATTTTTCATTCTTCCTCTTCTTCTCTTGTCTGTATTAGAGATTTGCTACCGATAGACCGCAGAATAACCTACACACCCTACCAATTAGCACCTACCAGAAAAGGCACGGCCTGTGTACCTCAGTATAAACATTTAAGAATTAAAGCCGGAGCGAGGAATGACTGGATGTATGGATGGTAATGAGAAGTGAGAAGTATCAGTGATCCTGTGTTCTCACCGTTTTCCCCCCTTTCTCCTCTTTCTCCTCCTTCTCAACGATCGTCTTCAGCCGTCGTAGTTCTTCTTTCCTTCTCTTAACTCGCACATAACCCCGTCCACAAACGCTTACGACACTAAACTACCAGGCCGACGGTCCACTCCTTGCGCATACAACGGAAGAGTGGGCGGCCTTGGAGAAGGCACTTTGAGAGGTTTTGCAAATAACGGTCGGCGGTGTCGTTAAACCCGGCAGCGAGAAAGGAAGACAGTAACCCCCTATGTCTTCAACACTGAGGCTTACATGCAAAACGACACCGCCTTCGTGAGCACTCCGGAAGGGGCGCTTCTGCTGTCCAACGCTCGACTAAGCATATGCGACTTCGCAGTATCCCCGACATGGTGACGTGTTGGAGTAGTGTTACATGCAGCACTGCCGCCAGGGAGGCAGACTTTAGGGCTGAAGACGCACAACGAACGGCCGAAGCGCTCATTTCGGTAGAGGACGCAAAAGTCGACGTGCGCATCCTCAACGACAACACCGCCTTTCTGCAGAAAGGAACTCGACCGCGCTGACGGTCATCCGGAATCAGCTCCTCGGTGACGTCAATAGCCTTCGCGGTGAAGTGGTGGGAGCTCATGGCGGACCTTAAAAATCGGTCAGACGCAATGGGAATGGGCGATCTCCAACCTTGATACGGTACGACGGGAGCGAGACGCTCTGAGGAACGAGAAAGAGTCGTTGGCAAAGGATTGGACAGCAAGCCAGTACAAGCGGGAGGGCGTTACCGGACGGACGTGACGCTTTTCAGAAAGAGCGAGGCAATCTTCTAGAGGGGCGCGACGCCCGCTGTCAAGAGCGCGAGAGACAATTCCCGGGGAGACGAGGAGCTTAAGCGCAGAGGCAACGCAGCTTAAACTACACCCGCATCAACGGAAGCTGCTCAAGCAGGGCCGATCCCTGTTTCTGACGACTCTTCGGAACCGAGAGAAGAGCAGGAAGTTATTGGCGTCGCCGCAAGACGAGCGCGTGACCGAGAACTGGGACGTCCACTCACGCCGCGTACATCCCCGCCGTCGCCGCCATCACCAACTCAGCAGCTCGCGGGGGCTAGGTCGAGAGAGTCGTTTCAGCCTGTACGGTACGCACAGTACCAGGCCTCCCCGCAGGAGTCTGCACCGGCATTCCCCTCAGCTTTTCCGCCGTACGTGAAAACAAACCCTGCACCAGTCAGGCGTGAGGAAGTCAAAATTGGTTTTGCTCACTCGCCAGCCCGACCAACAACTCCCGCTCAGCGGATGCCTCTCACACACGTGTCGCAGCGTCGGATGACGGCAGATGGACTCGTTGATTTCCCAGAGGGGAGGGGGGGGGGGGCAGGGCAGTCTACCGAGTGAGTCGGGCGACAGGAGGGCCACCACGATGACGACCGGTCGTTGGAAGACGGTCATGACTCCGGATTATCCTGTGACGTCCCCCGATTTCTACGAAAGGTCCGGGGGCAGTGGGCAACTACAGCGCCTTCATGACGACCGCCATGACAATGGCTCCCGCTACCGCTGTTGATACTCTGACGCTAGCCGTCCCTCACACGATGACTTTCGCGGTGAAGTGATTGAAGCGCTTGATGGAGTTTTACCTCCGATTCCGCTGCAGTGATGACACGGATGCCTTTGAAGTGCTGGGATGGGAGATGTACTACCTCCTTCGCGACGTTCTCTTCCTCTCCACTCACCCCAAGAGTTTTGATTTGAAGGCCGTACGTCATCATGTGTACGGCGAGGTGAGTGAAGATCACAACGGCGCGATCGTTCACCGATGCATGGGGCGCCGGTACGCAGAGTGTTGGCAAACCACCTCACGACATTATCACGGCCGCCAGCTGCCCGCACATTGTTCGATCCACACTGGCATCAAGAGCGCCTCATCGCACGCAAATCCCGGTTTTACAACCTCGCTGTCTCCAGCAATCACCTGTGTAATAGTGTGGGGGCGGTTCCGGGCTAACGCGGAAGCCCATTGGCAAGCGAGTGAGCTGCACCAGTGTACCCTCTGACGTCCGGCACCGGAACCACGAGCGCCACACTAAAGGAGGTGGCAACTGAAAGAAAATGGCTTTAAGGTAGATCAACCCGGCGCTTCCTTGTGCATGTCTTTCAAATGGTGGGAGATATCTGTCAACGGCACACCCGGCTCGTACGCGTCATGCGAGTCCTTGTCCTCGGTAGCCCCAATAGAGTCAAAGCGGCGTCTCGTCGGACCGTTCATCCGTTCCAAAATGCGGTCCGGGTTCAGCGGCGCAACGCCTACCTTCTGCAGCGGCAACGTCCGTGTCTGCTGCATCGTAGCGACTCGTGTATCTTTATGTTGCCTTTGAAGAGCGTGGCGAAAGGCGTGCTTCACTGAAGCTGCCTCCGGTTCAATCCATGCTGCATCCCAAGTTACTTGGACGGCAGGAAGGGTTGTGCCATCAAAGCCGTGGTTGCCAGCGTACCTGTCAGCAGAGCCGTGTGCGCTTTCAGGTAATGGACCGTACTGCGAGGCAACGCTTCTGGGTTGTCCCCGCGTTCCCCCAGGGTCGACAGTCGGTTTGGGCCCGCGGGCTTCTGCGCCATCTGCTGGAAGATCTTCTTGGCTACGTGCTCCAGCGCCCCGCGTTTGATGGAGTGCGCGGTGTAGCCGTAAGGCTCCAAGACCATTCCCATCTGCGCTGTGGTGCTCTGCGCCATCGGCTCGTCTTCCAGCGGGAGTGTCTGCAAGAATTCCCGAAGGACCCCGGCATCTTTCCCGCCCGATCACCACGTAGCGGTCCGGCCGGTCCGTCTCGCTCTTGAGCGGCTTTGGAGAATACCAAAAAGTCGACAATCAGGGAGGGATGGGCCCACCATGTGCGCCAGGAAGGCGGATGGCGGAAGAAGCTCCACGTCCGACCATCTGCTGGCCGTCAGCCAAGCCACCTCGAAGCAGTAGCGCGTCGCGAGTCGTCTTGATGGCTTTCCGGATGCGCAGATAATCGTCGTAGGTCATGGCTTTTGCCTGACGTACCGGCGTCACTGCCTTTTCTTCCCTCAGCCCTTTCCTGTACATCTCCAGCATATCCGCTGGTTTGTCCACACAGCGCTTCAGGATCCCGGCATACTGCAGAGCGCTGGAGGGTTTGAGGTGCAGCGACCCCACGAAAAGAGCGATCGACTGGTGGTCCGATGGCAGCTGATGCGCAGTCGGAAAACGCACATATCGTGTGAGAACCGGTGTACGCTGGGACCAGGTCTGAGGTTCCCGAAGTTTTCAACGCCGCTTCGTTGACTGCTGCAGCTATCTTTCTTCGTTCGGGACTGCTCAAGTCGTCGATCGGTATCGGTTCCCGGCTTATATGTTTTTTTCACGAGTTCGTGTTGGGGGTTCCCCATTTCTTCTGCGGCCTCCTTAAGGACCGGAGGAGACCTCGGGCCGTCGTCGCGGGTGCATCGATTTCCAAATTGGTGGTAGTAGTAGTATCGGCCATCGAGGCCGTTGCACCTGCTGCGCGGGTTCGCACCTTGACCGCGCGGTGAACAGCGGAGCCGCGTAGAGTGGGCGTTGTGGTGACCGCGGCACCGTGGCCGACTGAGTCGTCTCGGTGACGCTGCAGGTGTGCCCGCCCTTTGTGTGGGACAGCATGGGGTCAACGGCTGCTCCTGCGACCCCCACGGGCCTCTACTGGCCAACCATTCATGCTTTTTTGATTGGCTGCTTTCCCTCGTTTTTTTTTCTGAGCTTTGCGTATAAGGACTGCGTTGAGGGGCGCCCCGCACGCCAACCGTAAGTACGCTTCTGCGTACCGGCGCCCCATGCATCGGTGATCAATCGCGCCGTAGCAGCCGTCGCCCACCTCACCGTCCACATCGTGACGTAGAGCCTTAATGTCCAAACTCTTCGGGTGAGTGGAGAGGAAGAGAACTTCGTGAAAGAGGTAGTACATCTCCCATCCCAGCGTTTCAAAGGCATCCGAGTCATCACTACAGCGATATGGACGGTTGATTGTTATTCTGCTGTGAAACTGGTCCGACGCTGATTGCCCCCAGCTCCATCGCGGTCGTATCGCAGAGACAGACCCCGCGCGCCTTTCCGCTTTCTCGGGTTTTTTTTTGTGTCGGCGGCGGTTCCGCCATGCTTTTAGGGAATTTGCCTGTGGTGCCTTCCCTGGCATCCAACGCCTCCTCGGTGCTCACTACGGACGCATCTTTAGAAGGATGGGGAGCGCGTTGCTTTCTCTTGGTATTGGCGAAATCGGCTCCACCGGTGGTATTTGGAGCTCGACGCCGCCGATGATTGCGTCGGCCGCAATGAGAGCCGTTTTGTTTGGCTCAAAAGCCTTTGCTCACCGATTGGAAGGACACGTTGCTATAGGGGTGGATATCACCACGGTGCAGCATTCTTTCGCCAAAAATCAATAAAAACCACGAAGTCTCAGGTCCTACTACCTGAGCTTCAACGAGCGCTCCACTTGCTCCCGACGCTTCATCTTTTTGCGTCCTTCGCTGACGTGCGGGCGGCGGACAACCCGGCAGACGCGCTATCAAGCCGTCACCTCCTGTCTAGGGGAAAAACTATCGAAGGGCAGCTTTGGAGGCGGATCTGTAAAAGAAAGCTACCGCTTCGCTAGTAATCCCAAAAGATCAAAAACCGATTTGCCTTTGTTCTCCGCAAACTCGCTAGTATTTAAGTGTTTGTCACCTCCTGTACGCGATCCAAACACCGCCACTCCCACCCGTGGGGACGGCCAAGCTACGTTTTAGCGTAGCGCGGAAGGGCGGCGAGCGTCGAAGCGACGATCTGCAGAACCGCAGGACTCGCCTTGTAGCCCATGGGCAGACGGGTCAGGTGAACTACAGTGCCGTCCTGCAGATAGCAACGGAAGCCGCTGAGTGCGTCTGCGCACTCGATCAAACGAGGGGCCGCACAGCACGCGGCGAGCCTGGTCGCGGAGCTGAATCTGGACCCATTTCTGGTACCCCGGCTGATGAAGCATGCCAACATCTTCGACATGCCGTCGACCTCCGTCAGCTATCTGGGCCCGACGACGGCCTGGCTCACGGGAATATCGGATTTTGTCCGGAGGATGTGAGTCCGTGGCACCTGCCGGAGGTGCTACCTGAGTTTCGCTCGCGAGCGACGATCACGCGTCGCTCTCACAAGACAGCAGTGGCAGGGCCAGCCGAGGTGGCGTCTCTGCCCTTGCAACAAGTTGGGGTCTCGCCTTTGGACGTCGGTCCATTGAGGGACAGAATGCGTCACCGTGTTCGCAAGCGCTTTGACGCCCTGACGGCCTTGCTCTCGGAGGAGCCGCGCGACTCAAGACCGTCGCGATGGACGGTGCCGATGGACGACGCTACGCGCCCGCTGGAAGCGCGCATCATCGAGAAGGCACCCGATGCGGATACGCGTGGTTGGATCCACCCCTTCTCGGTGGTGGAGGAGAAGCCCTCAGACAAGCGCCGACGGTGGATCGCCTGGCCGCGGGAGAAGAACGAGCAGGATCTTCTCGAGACGCAGCTGGACGACTTACGACACACCAGCGAGTACATGTCCATCGTGCATGGCGAGTGTGCCACAAGAATATTTCTTGTTTTCGATGGCTTGTCACTTCATCTCAGCCTTGTGACGGAGGATTCTTCAAGACTCTTGGGTTTCGGGGGCATCGACCTCTTCATAGGAGACTGTGGCTGACAAAAAGAGAGCCCGAATAACTTGTACCTGTTCTCCACAAATTTTGTTTCGTTCAACCGTATTATATTTCAGATGAAAAGGAGAAAGAGAGGTAGGATGAACTATTCTCAGTCTAGGTCATTCCGTTCGCAATCTCCAACCAAAGATATCGTGAGAAACAAGGAAAGAAGAATGCTGGTGCGCACGCATTGCCTGTTTGTTCCGTCGACGAGGCTTATTGCGAAACAAACCTGACGATGACGTTGCGCGTCGCCGCCGTCTCCTCTTTGTCCTCGCTGTCTTCCCCTCCTCGCCTTGTCAGCTGGAGCCGTTACCCTGCAGGAGTGTAGCATGGCTGACGAGAGCGACTGGAGGGATGCACTCAATGGTCTCGTAGTGGCTGGAAAGGAGATAAGTGGCTCGCAAGGAAACTCTTCCGTTGTTGTTGTTCTTCAGTGTGTGTGACGCCGCTGCTCCATCTACCCTTCTCTCTGTCTGTTCTGGTCATGGTTCTCGAAAAAAACAATTCTTCTTTGTGTCCGCTACAGCAAGTTTGAGTTGCCAACTTTTTATTTGTCCATCAGTGTTGTCGGTGGGTGCTGCGCCACCTTTGTGTGTTCTTTCTTCTCTGCTAAGCGCTTCCTTACGGTGATTTCTTTCTCTCTCTGTGTGTGTGAGCCGGCATTGTGCACCCCGCTTTGGTAAGCACACAAATTCGCATTACTAGTTTTCACCCCATCTTTCTTCTCACATACAATTTGAAAAGCGGAAAGCGAGAAGCGAAGGGCCCTCAGAAAGAAGAAGCCGAACCTCTCGGGTCCCTCCGCTCCCTTTGATCCGACCAGACGCCGTATTCATCGCTACCGCCCTCTCCTTTTTTTCTTCTTGGCGTTCACAGGCGGAGAAAGGAAAGCCTGTTCATAGATACGTCGAAGTAACGACGGCAAAAGGGTACTATTCAAACGCGCTGCTGAAGTACTGCGCCATGTCGCGTGTGTCCGTAGCTGCCGGCTCGAAGCCGAAGCCGAAGGAATCCTTCAAGTTCCTGCGCCGCGACGAGGGACGACTGTCGTACTCCGCCGGTGGCACCGCCGAGTCGCCCGCGCGCAGCGTGGGCAACGGCAGCGAGGGCGACAAGACGATAAATCGCGAGCGGCGCGACTCGAAGTCGCTGCGGGAAGCGATCGCATTCGACATGCGCAACGCGAAGAGTCACGACCCGCTCGGAGAGGTTGTCGTGGCGGTCCCACGGAAGGCCCCACCTCCAAACCGGGCCGCGAGCACCCCACCAACGCAGACAAACACCCACACCTCGAACAACAACCGTAGTGCCGCTGCCGGCTCGCGAGGGGAGTCGCGCGCGTCAGCCCAGCAGCAGCCGCGCCGGTCACCCGCGAGTGCTGCGGCGTTCAGGAAGCGGCCGGAGTGGATCGACCCGGAAATCCCGCCAGCGCGTGTGGATGCGGCGGCGGTGCCCGAGTACGACCTCCCGCAGAGCAGCGCCAGTCGCAACTCCGAAGACGAGGGCGGTGTAGCGGAGTACGGCCGCTACGGTGGGCGGACACCCCGCCGCGCCGGCGGTGGCGCACCTGTCCCGCGCTACGTCGACGCTGACTACGCCGACTACGCCGACGTCAGCGCCGCCCAACCGTCCAACGTCGACCGCAACTTCTTCCGCCGTCCGCAGAACGTGCCGGCGCCGCCGGCGGCGTCGAGTCGAACTCGAGAGGAGGAGGACTTAATGGTGAGTTTAGAGCAGGAGATCCGCGCCGCGCAGGAGGAGCGGGAGCACTACGACCACGCCAAGCAGCAGCTGGAGCGGGAGAAGCAGCGTTTTGAGGCCTACCGCTTTAACGCGCAGAAGCAGCTCGAGGACGAGCGACTGAGCGCAGACGGCAACCGCGCACGCGACCAGCGTGACGCCCAGAAAGATCTGCGCTCTGCGGAGGAGCGGTGCAAGAATGTCTCGGCGCTGCTCGTGACGGAGCGGGAGGCAAACCGCCGGCTGTCGCAGGAGAACGACTCCCTGCGTGCCCAGCTCGAGGACCTGACCTCAACGCTGCGGGAGGCACATCAAATGCACAAGACGGAGGCGGCCCGCATGCGCCGTGACATCGACTCGCTGACTCGCCGCAATGCGGAGCTGCTGGCGATGGCGAAGGAGCAGCAGCTCTCCTCGCTGGAGGAGAACAACACGAAGACGAAACCCGCACCGGCGCTGTGGAAAGCCGGCGCGGGCTCACGGCACGTCTCCGCAGCGCGAGACCGCAGCTCGGCCCCGCAGACGCCCTCGCTCGATGCCGGAGAGCCCTCCGCGTCGGAGCGCCGTACCTCGGCGCAGAGCACAACGAGCAGCACCGCCAACAACCACAGCGCACCGCAAGTGATGGACTTCACGCCACGGGCGAACGCCGGCGAGGAGGCCGCGCGGGAGAGGCGCAATCGGCAGATGCAGGAGCGCATCCAGGCGGAGCAGGCAGAGATGGAGGAGCGGCGGAGGCAGCGGGAGGCGGACATGGCTCGAAGGGAGGAAGAGGAGGCGGCTCGAAGGGAGGAAGAGGAGGCAGAGCGGCAGCGGCAACGCGAGAAGCAGGAGAAGGAGCGGCGTGAGCGGGGAGCCTCCACCGCCTCGTCGGCAGCAACGGCGGCTAAGCCGGTGGAGGAGCGCAAGTCTGCCGGACACCCGGTGAACACGCCGCGCATGCAGTCGAGCGGGGCGGCAGCGGCAGCAGCAGCGAAGAAGCGGCTGCCCGTGACGGCTCCCCACCCGCCGGTGCCGCCGAAGCCGTCGCGCATCGTCGTGCCCACCCGCGAAGAACTTCTCGGCGACATGGAGCAGGCGCCCGAGGAGGACTTCCCGAATGACAGCGCCGTGTCGGAGACGGCGCTGGGCGACAACCCCAACAAGAAGGAGACCCTCTACCGCAGCGGCAAGCGTGAGATTCACTACGCCAACGGCACGGTGAAGGCGGTGCTGCCGTCGGGGCATACAATTCTGCACTTCACCAACGGCGACGTCAAGTGCACCTTCCCATCCGGCAAGAGCACCTACTGGTACGACGCAGCGCAGACGGCGCACACGCAGATGCAGGACGGGGTGCAGACCTTCGAGTTTCGCACGACGGGGCAGGTGGAGCGTCACCTGCCGGATGGCAGCAAGTCCATTCTGTACCCCGATGGCATCTACAAGGTAGTGCACAAGGACGGCAGCGATGAGACCTACTACCCAGATGGCGAGCCGATGGAGGAGTAAGCGGCGAGGGTGTGCGGTGGTGCGCTCTCACAGGCGCTATTGAAACGTGTTTTCTTTTTTCAAATGTACCTCCGCTCTCCGTTTTCTTTTTGAGAGGCCGTTGTTTCGGCAGTGGACGGTGTTTTGTCTCCCAACGCTCTGTACGATGCCCTTTCTTCTTCTTGTGGAACTGCCCTGTTGGTGGTGCTCCTCCTCATCGCGGTTTGTGCGGGTCATTGCAGCGCAGCCAGGGCGGTAGACTAGTTTGTATTGTATTTTCCGTTAGAGGCCGGATCCTTTTGACTCGGCCACACAAAACATTTTTTTTTTATTCGCTGTTTACCTCCTGTCTCTTCTGTTTGAAGTCCTCTTCAATTGGTTGCTCTCTCTCTTTTTCTCTTTTCATGTTGTTATAAGCTCTGATCCTGTGCGGTGTCGTTCTGCTTCTTCTTTGACCTTCTGGCAGTCCTCGAGCAGGTGAGGCAGGTCAGGCAGGCACGCACATGTACGTACGTGTATTGGCGGGTTGGTCGGTGATATCTATATCTGTGTTTATGCGTCTTGTCGGCTTTTTGTTTTCTTCTTCAGTGTTTTCGCTCCTTCGCTGGTGAGAGCCGTCTCGTGCTGCACTGCCTCGACGGCGGCGTGGCGGGTCGAATGTGTACTACTTTCATTTAGTCGTTTCTTCCTTTTTATCAAGTCGCGTGTGTGTGCGCGTGCGTGTGTGTGCGCGTCTCTCTCCGCCTCTCTCATCCGGAGGAACACATCGTTGAGTAGTTAGAAGCATAGAAAATGGAAAAAAACTAATAATAATAGAACGCAAGACAAGACGTATACGAAAGCCTTTTCTTGAAGAGACACACGCACGTGGACACACACACAGAGACACGCACACGCAAATGCCGGCAAGAAATACCGCGATGCGTTGCGCTTTATACGAAGGAGAAAAACATCAACTTTTACCGTTTCCTAGGCTCTCTCCGGGTCACACAAAGAAACCAGCAGATCAACAACAGCAACGCGAAAAGCGTGAATCTATAGACGGTGTTGCCGGTGGCACGCGTTGGGGTGAGTTGGGTTGTGCCCTGCTTGCCATCTCTGCTGAAAGCGTACCTCGGCTCGCACACAACGTGACCTCTGCAAAGGAGTACAGTCAGGCTGGGAAGTGCAACAAAGCTGTTCTGACTACCACAGAGGAGTTCGAATATGTATATGCGTACTGATATCCCTGACAAGACGGACAGCTAGAGTTGTTGTTGTTATCTGAGCAGTTTGCTGCTCCACCTGGTGTTTCTGCGGCTCCGTCGTTGACGACTTCCTCCCCCCCCCCTCTCCGCCTTCTCCCCCGATAGTCCTGCGCCCTCTACAACATTCATTTTGTTTTCTCCCTAAAGAAATACACAACCTTCTACTTGTGTTGATATTTTAATAAATATATATATATTTGTTTTTTTTTCCGCTGTAGTTGTCGAGTATATCGCTGTTTGTTTTTATTATTATTGTTTTTTGATTGTTCGAGTACCGTGCACATACTGGAAAAGCAATCTCGAGTGGTGCTCTCGTGCTCTGTTGTTGGTGTGTGCGTATCTCTCTCTGTCTCTCTCCGCGTCGCACGTTCATCTCTTCTCTTCTTCTCTCTTCCTCGGGTGTATCCTCCACGTTCGTGGAACGTCAGCGCAACACGCCTGCGAAGATGGTCGAGGTTCCGCGCAACTTCCGCCTCTTAGAGGAGTTGGAGGCGGGCGAGAAGGGCACCGGCAGCAACCAGAACGTGTCGGTCGGTCTGCGCGATACGTCGGACATTTACTTCCACTTCTGGAACGGCACGATTGTCGGCCCCCCTAGCACCACCTTCGAGTACCGCATCCTCTCCCTTGAAATTTACTGCGACGAGAGCTACCCGAAGGTGCCGCCGCACATCCGATTTCTCAGCAAGGTGAACCTCCCGTGCGTCGACCCGGATGGCACCGTGAACCGCAGCAAGTTTCTCCTCTTTAAGAACTGGGACCGCCGCACCACCATGGAGACGTGCCTGTCGGAGCTGCGGAAGGAGATGGCATCCCCGGCCAACCGCAAGCTGCCACAGCCGCCGGAGGGCTCCGTCTACTAAGGAGCTATGGGAGGACGGGAAGGCCACGCAAATCAAACAAGCAAACGTGTAGCACGCCGGTCTTTTCCCGGTGTCTCTCCACCTCCCTGCCGTTTGTGTTCTCTTCGCCTCCACAGTGCTAGGCTCTGCGTCGGCCTTCTCTTTCACCATAGCCGCTTTCGTCCTCTAAGGACGGGAGAAAGAAGAAGAAAGAACCGGTGCGGCAGAGAATCACGAACGTCGGACCCTGTTTGATTGTGTGTGTGTGTGTGTGGTGGGGT